CAGAATTATGTATCTTAGTGTAGTCTACTTGTGTGATAAGTTATATTGAAATCAGACCAAAACTGTAGAAGGAGTAGCGTTTTAAAGGAATTCCACAGAAAATTCTACTTTTAGTAACCATGGCAACACCGTTCATTGAAATCAAAATCCGATGCGCTATTTTATGTAAATTAATGTAGTTTACTTGTGTGCCAAGTGATAATGAAATCAGACCAAAACTGTAGAAGGAGTAGCATTTTAAAGGAATTTCTCAGAAAATTCTATTTTTAGAAACCATTGCAACACCGCTCATCGAAATCAAAAACCGATGCACTATTTTATGTATCTTAGTGTAGTCTACTTGTGTGCCAAGTGATATTGAAATGAAACTAAAACTGTAGAAGGAGTAGCGTTTTAAAGGAATTTCACAGAAAATTCTATTTTTAGTAACCATGGCAACATCGCTCATCGAAATCAAAAACCGATGCACTATTTTATGTATCTTAGTGTAGTCTACTTGTGTGCCAAGTGATATTGAAATCAGTCCAAAACTGTAGAAGGAGTAGCGTTTTAAAGGAATTTCTCAGAAAATTCTATTTTTAGTAACCATTGCAACACCGCTCATCGAAATCAAAAACCGATGCACTATTTTATGCATCTTAGTGTAGTCTACTTGTGTGCCAAGTGATACTGAAATGAGACTAAAACTGTAGAAGGAGTAGTGTTTTAAAGGAATCTCTCAGAAAATTCTATTTTTAGTAACCATGGCAACATCGTTCAACGAAATCAAAAACTGATGCACTATTTTATGTATCTTAGTGTAGTCTACTTGTGTGCCAAGTGATACTGAAATGAGACTAAAACTGTAGAAGGAGTAGCGTTTTAAAGGAATTTCTCAGAAAATTCTATTTTTAGTAACCATGGCAACATCGTTCATCGAAATCAAAAACCGATGCACTATTTTATGTATCTTAGTGTAGTCTACTTGTGTGCCAAGTAATATTGAAATGAGACCAAAACTGTAGAAGGAGTAGCGTTTTAAAGGAATTTCACAGAAAATTCTATTTTTAGTATCCATGGCTTCATCGTTCATCGAAATCAAAAACCGATGCACTATTTTATGTATCTTAGTGTAGTCTACTTGTGTGCCAAGTAACATTGAAATCAGACCAAAACTGTAGAAGGAGTAGCATTTTAAAGGAATTTCTCAGAAAATTCTATTTTTAGTAACCATGGCAACACCGTTCATCGAAATCAAAAACAGATGCACTATTTTATGTATCTTAGTGTAGTCTACTTGTGTGCCAAGTTATATTGAAATGAGACTAAAAATGTAGGAGGAGTAGCGTTTTGAAAAATTGTTTACAGACAGACGGACAGACAGACAGACAGACAGACGGACGGACACCGGACGCATTACTATCGCATAAGCTCTTCTGGTCTCTGACCAGTAGAGCTAAAAAAGTAGCAATACAGTTTTTCGCACTTGATTTATTTCATTAGAGCACTTCAACACAATATGCAGAAACGTTAAGGCACCTTTTAAATAAAAATTCACAACGTTAAATACTGCATTATCATCCATTAAAACGAATTCACAGCAAGACAACCGTTCCTCAAAGAGTTCACACTATTTAAGAAAAATTCTTATATTGAATGTTTTTCCATGTGGAGACTAGGTCGTCCTCTAATTCTGCTAGATTCTGCTGCTGGAAAAGCTGTCTCACACTCCAGTCTATCTTCTTCCATACATGTAAGTTAGGGTTGAGATTAGGATGACAAGGGGCTTACTGAAAGTGCCTGTGCCTTGCTGACAATAGTTAAATAATGTCTCATTACATGTATTCCCCACTCGTCCAGTTTGACACTGAGGAGAGGGCACTTCCGGTTCCGGTTCCATTGATATTTCCGGGTAAACTCCAGGATGATTTTGTTGTGTTTGTTGAAAATCTAGCGATTTCTACTGATTAAAAGGAATTTAGGTATGCTTTGTAGGTTTTTCGGGCAGTAATTACTGTAAATGTATTACATTTGGCGGTGTATTCTTTTTAGCGCTTTTGGCGGAAAGATACTTCCGCTAATTCAAGTACATCGCTAAATTTCTTAAACATTGATACATGAATAAGAACATAAAGAAATGTGCTAAATCAAATCTACGCTAACTTGTTTAAAAATCTTTTTCCACTAAATATCGTACATGCCAAATATAATACATTTACAGTATAAAGGTTTTAAGTAAAATAAAGTCATACAGTGAAAGGAAACAGAATTCTCGTTAACTACGACCGGCTTGGGCCATAATCAGCTTCACTTCCACATTGTTGTGTGGACATACACCGCATTTAAATCAAACTTTTTTCTGTTTTTCGTTATCAATTAAAGATGGAGAACACATGGAAGTAAAAAAATATGAAGATTACACCCGAAAAACATATGAAACTCGAACTTCATGTTTTTTAACAAAAAAGGTCAAGGTCGAGTAATTACACATTTGATTACAATTTTTTTGGCCTTGACAGGTAAGTATTGCAAATTGAAGGCAAAATTGTAAGCAACTAGGACATTGATGTTCAGGTTTTGAACTTTTAGAAAAAATAAAAGTGGGGACTTAGAAATTTTGACAAGTATACCTACTTAGATTTGGTGAAAAAAAAATAAGGATAGTTCATTGCAAATTTGTTTTTAAAAAGTATTCAAAAAATTCCAAGTCAAATGTATTATTTATATTTAATGAAATATTGCATGAATTCAGGATCAATGATGAAGCACAAATTAAAGGAAACAAAAGAATCTTCACCTGCGTGCCATAACAGAATGTCCCAGTGAATTTCAACAGGCTGCATCTTCGCTTAGTTAGGTAATTTACAAATGATAATGCCATTAATGGAGAAAGAGACATGCCACTTATTCCTGACATCAATGTTTTTATGCTGTTAAAGACCCAAGAAAATCAGCACTTGGAGTAATATTTGAAGTAGAAAGCACCCTATTTAGATTTTGGTAAATTTATTTGTGTTATAGATCTAAACTCTCTTTTTCTTGTTTTTATAGACACTTTGGATTAATTTTACCAACATCATAAACAGAGAGAATCTTCAGTCTACAGAGCAGACTAAATAATCTTCTACAATCCACATATCAGCTTGAGAAAAACAAGACCCCTTGCCATTAAGCAAATATTAAAAATAATTAAATAAAAAATATTATCAGTTTGTTCAAGTCAAAATTATTGTGTGAGGAAGTTGTGGGGTGAATATGCTCGTAACACATTAAATAAACCTACATTCATGATTGCAACAACAACAAAATAATTTTGTCCAACATCGATAACAAAGAATTTAATATTGGAGGAAATCTCGGCGGTGAAGATTGCAATGCTAAACAAAATTTGTCGATTTTATTATAAACAATAGAGATTGGTCTACGTTTCCGATCTAACTACTCTGTAGAACACTGGCGACAGTTGAACTGACCTTCAAGTCGGTTGCATACGGATCGAGCGGTTAAAATCACTCTTCCTTCCCATTTCTACTTACTAAAATTTTGTGTTTGAAACCTCAATTAAACTTATATGACTTTCGACAAACATTTCTGTAAAAATTTGTGAGCAAACAAGCTCATTGAACTTTTTTCCACGCGATTCTTTAAATCGCATCCATGTTGTTTACGTTAGGTTGTCGGAGTCTGCAACCACGTGACTTTCGTTGCCATCGGTGGGCGAAGCGTGGAAGCGTGAATTTCCCAGAAAATAACAGCCATGGCCAAATTCACAAAAAGTAATGTAAGAACCTTGCCTTAAATGGTGCATTTCTTACATATGATTTTTCATTCGCTGATATTAATCAAATTGGACAAATAGCTACCAAAGATTCTTATTGCCCTCTCCGTCATGTTTATGCCAGAAGGTATATATGCTCTCCAGAACTATGATTTATAAACCTAATTATCCCCCTTTCCTTTACATATGGTTGGAGTAAAGCCACAACTTTTGATGCATCCAAGTAGCAATTTTAGCTTAAAAGTATACACGCTATAACTTGCGCCAGTTAAAATAAGATTGGAAATTTATATTTTTTGTTTATCAATAAAAGTTACGAAAAAACTGTAAATTACACCATTAAAATCAAACGCGTTATAAAGTTTTCAAATTATTATTATTTATATTCCTGCTAGGAGAGAAAAATAGCTATTTTTAAATAAATCCATCACGTGACGCCGTCGCTACTTTTAGATTGATAAACAAACATGGCGTGAAGAAAACAAGGTAGGCTGTTTGAGATACTACTCACTTTTGACGTGGATGGCAAGCGTATTACTCTTAATGTTACTTATCTTTTAATGTAATTAGTATCAACCATCTACTCTGTTATGACACATATTAACCTTTTATTAATAATTGTTGTCAAAATGCAATATTCCTCGTTGTCTGTGATTTCCCGTGGACATGCGTGTCTATATATAGGCCTACTGTTTACGCACTTCCTTCATCAATATTCATGAAAAGACTGAATTCTTAATTGCCAGATATTGCTTAATTGTTTTGTTATTACAAGGAACTCTATCGTAAAATTTTGTGGAAAGTATTATTTTTCATTACACTTCATGTGTTTCAAATCATTAATCATTTTGTTTCACACAAAAGTTGGCGTAATTCATACAGCGTGTAGGACTTTAACCTGCCAAATTATGAAACTTTTCATCAATCGTGCTTTTAAATCAGTTGCATCTACAGTAAAACACGTTCAGTACAAACACTGACATTGCAAATTCATGGATATAGCAAAGTTTTCTTATATTCCCAACTAACCGGTATATAATTTTACAAATTCCTTATTTAGATATAACAAATTATGGATAGAGTGAAGTAATTTCACCAGTCCCAGTGACTTTGTTATAACCGAGTTTTACTGTAAATACTAACCCATGTTTAAGTCATAATAGTCACTGCAAACTGCTAGGGGGAAACAAAGATAAATTCTAAAAATTGTTTTTAGAAGCTATCTTGATAAAATTAACATTACCTCATTTTCCTCTAAATTGAAATATTCTGCATCAAACTTATCAATATTCTTTATCAATCCTACTCTTGGAGGTGTGCCATGGAGTTCCCTTGGCCATCTTGTTCCTCTTATCAAATCTTTTCCCAGAATTAAGTTTTCCCAGAACTCCTATACGTATTAACAAAATAAAAAAATATGTGTTACCATCATGCTTTAATTGTTAAATGCCTTCATCAATTTTAAAATGCCAAGACAATAAGTTGGGTAAATTTTATTTACATCAATGTTTTCTGATTCTGGAAGTCTGGAAGCAACACCTGTCAGAAAAGTTTCATACATTGTTGGACCAGCATTGATTCCTAAGATTTCTGTAGAATTTGCTGTAATATAATTAAAAAAAAATATATTTACAATAAATATTCATGCTCAAATGCATTTGTAATTGAAAAAAAAATCTATACCAGAATTCTCTGATGAAACTGTAGCTCTAATGGTTTGTACTTGTACCACAGAAAGAGAGAACTAGTACTTGGATGTGAAGCTTTGCAACAGCAATAAATAGAATATTGAGAGAGAATAGTCTCCCTTAGTAGCAAGATTTATTTCAACTAAACTATAATTCTTGAAAGAATTTCAAAGAAATTTTTATTGCTATCCGTTTTCTTTTACTACATGTATCTGTTTTCATCCATCGTCGTTCATCATGCGTTAACATTTGAACATTTTCAGCTTCTTCTCTGCTGAACCATTTTGGCATATAGCATCTATGGGTGAAGGGGAACAGAAATTGTGAATTTCATGGTCCCTGCTCCCCTGGGGCCTGGGGGTGGGGCCAAAACCACTCAAATTAGTGCAATCTTTAAAAATCTTCTTTACTCCTGGAAATCAAGCTTTCAAACTGTTGGTATGATTGTAATCAGCATTGCGTCCTCTACCAAAATTGTGAAATTCATGACCCCAGGGTCAGTGATTCTAGTGCTAGGGCAGGGCTATATAGATTATACAGTGAAAATGAAGGTTTTCTTAAGAAGATTTTCAAAGATTTTTCCTATATACATGTATTTCAATGTAAAATTTTGATTCCCTATTGTGGCCCACCCTACCCACAGCGGTCATGATTTGTACAATTTAAAATCTACACTACCCTTAGGATGCTTCCACATAAGTTTCAGCTTTTCTGGCCAAGTGGTTCTTGAGAAAAATATTTTCAAAGATTTTTCCTATATACATGTATTTCAATGTAAAATTTTGATTCCCTATTGTGGTCACCCTACCCAAGGGGGTCATGATTTGAACAATTTAAAATCTTTACTACCCTTAGGATGCTTCCACATAAGTTTCAGCTTTTCTGGCCCAGTGGTTCTTGAGAAGATTTTCATAGATTTTTCCTATATATTTCTCTGTAAAACTTTGATTCTCCATTGTGGCCCCACCCAACCCCCAGGGGTCATGATATGAACAATTTAGAATCTACACTACCCCAGGATGCTTCCACATGAGTTTCAGCTTTTCTGGCCCAGCGATTCTTGAGAAGATTTTTTAATGACCCCACCCTATTCTTGTCTTTTCTTGATTATCTCCCTTTGTGAGGGGACCTGGTCCTTCATTTTAATGATTTAAAATTCCTCTTCACCCCTTTTAGGTAGCTGCAGATTTGTAGCTCTCTGAAAATATATATATTGATAGACCGGAGAGCTACAGTGCCACCCATTGAAAAAACTGTATATTTATTGCGCACAAAAAAGTGCGCTCGGTTCTTGATTAATTCTTCCAAATTCTTACCTCAATTGCAAAAAATGGAAGATTTAAAAAAATTCCTCTTTCCTCTATCGAGTACTTTCGTAGTTGACATCTGAACGAAGCATATTGGACCGAATTATCTTTGAAACCAAAATGGCAGAATAAATCAGCGAAATGTTCGATGATTGCAATATCAGGACCAGAAGGGCCATCAACAACAATTATGAGGAATGTTTTGTTGTCGAAAGAGTCAAAGAATATGTTAGGAACACACGGTTAGTGATATTTTGAGATTACAGTTTTAAAAACACGGAGAAATAATTCGAGAACCGAGCGCACTTTTTTGTGTGCAATAGATATACAGTTTTTTCAATGGGTGGCCCTGTACTTCTCCGGTCTATCAATAATTTTTTTTCGGAGAGCTACAGATCTGCAGCTACCCTTTTAGGATGCTTTGAACCAAGTTTGGTCAAAATTGGCCCAGTGGTTCTTGAGAAGAAGTTGAAAATGTCAAAAGTTTACAAAAGCCTACAGTTCCTTCAACAATGCAATGTATGACAGGGGGAGGTGGTAGATAGGGGCTCCGATGCTGGATCCTGAATCCTCACCTGTAAAGTGATTCATTTTTATACCATATAAATTGCAGACCTGAACGGTATATGATGCTCCGGTTAGGCAGAAGGTAATTGTCTGTAAATCTTTTTGTTCCCTTCAGGTGCCTGTGCATAAACATAAACATTGAATACTAATTGGACTCCTCAGAGGGCTGCCTGTGCATAAACATAAACATTGAATACTTATTGGACTCCTCGGAGGGCTCTGTTTCAGCATTTGCTGAATCCGCTCCTGAAACTGATAAACATGAACACACAACTTTACGTTATACTTTACAGACGTGCAGGTAATTTGTAAACGAATTTTACCTTTTCGTCACTTATTCTTTATCAAACTGCATTCAGCTTAGCGCTAGCTTATGGTTACTTCGTTTTCCTCGGCATTTTCTGGCATTCAGTGTAACAATGTCCGAATGTGAGGTAGTGTGCTGCACGTGCCAGTACGTACGCCCCGCCCACTGTGCTCCCGCGCGTTTAGAACAGTCTGAACAAATGTCCACAGAACCTGGGATTACGTTGTCGTTTTTAAGATTTTCAAATATTTTTCTAAAAGACTAGACTAAGAGTAATCCGTTTTGCATGAAAATGATATATCTTACAGGCCCGTAGTATGAAAAATCGGATGTTTTCCAGGATTTTTTACGATTTTGTTATTTTACGTTTCAGGAAACCTAAAATATCAAAATCGTAAAAAGGCCTGCAACGTCAGATTTTTCAGACTAACATGCCTGTAGAAAACGAGGAGGGCCATGAATTTGTTTATAATTTTTTTCAATCCAAAAATCAGATTAATTTTGTAACTGCATAATAAGTGCATATACATGTAACAGTGGAATATCACTCTAAAATCTAAACGTAGTTTAAAAAAATAATTAACAATAATTCCAACTTTAAAGTTGACCTTTTCCAACTGTAAAGTTGGCTTTTCCAACATGAATGAAAACATGAAATTTTCTTTTCTACCCCACCGCCCGAAATTGTTGCAGTAACTTGAGTAATAAGGTACAAATTTTTTGCGGTCAGGCAGTGCAAGGATCAATATTTCAATGGCCCGAAACTAAGAAATCATACCCAATGAACTAGATTTTGTGCAAGCCGATCTAGAGATCGGAATTTGTTACCTGCATTTTAACAAAAACAGCTTGCAGAGAACGAACCATATTACTGTAACAAAATATTCATATGTTTACTTCATTCAGTTTTTTTGTACGCATTTGTTTATTCTTTGCAAAAGTACTATGTGTAAATGTCTGTGAAACAGTTTTGCTAGGTTTCTAAACTACCGGATTAGTCTGTCTTCCATGAAAGGAGTGCCACAATCATTTCGCGCCAAATGTCACAAGTTTTCCTTGGATTGTTCTTTTGTAAGAGTATGATTATTTTCATGAAATGATAACCTTTTTTCAACATTTTTGTTAACTGCTTTTGGTACATTTTGCTTTGAATAGCTATCATATTCAACTGAAGCTGCCTTTTGGCACTTCGTGTGCATTTGAAATGTAACCTTAAAACAACCACAGTTTCCCGGCCAGCACAAATCAATATTAGTACGATTCTCAGTTAACCTTGGACTTTCAGTAGGGCGTGACTTTCTCGACAATACGTAATTGACGTCTCTCAAATGGCGAATAGATTCTAAATGGTTAAGAAGTAAATAACATCAGCAACTTTAAATTGTTGTTGACAACGATGAGACGACATAGGCCCCGCCTATCAGTATCTGCCGTACGAAACAATATCATTGGATCATTGATACACTCGTTGACATTCACCGGAATGTATATTTCAACAGTGAATGAAGGCTGTGTAAATTTCAGACGCTAACTGTGTAACATCGAGAATACCGCGCCTTACTGAAAGTCCAATATTATAACTGAAACTTGTACTATAAACTTAAGGTATCTTATTTACTTCATTTTTTTTAAAACGGTGCTTTAACTAGTTTCGAATTTGAACAGTTTTGGATAATTTTTGTTTAAAAATGAAAAATAAACAAAAAAAGTTTCTGCTTCTAGTAAATTTTTGTATGAATAAAGCTGTATTTATTCTCAAAAATCTAGACGATAATGCGAGATCAACAAATCCGTCTCTTTTTCCATGTCAAGTCCTTAATGTTTACTATAAGAAGCGCTGTAGTGACGTTGATTGGAAAGAAAATTACATGCTGTTTCTTAAGTTGGGGAGTACATGTATTTTGAAACTTTTTAAGGGTACCTTATTTAATTGCAACAATGTGTATAAGACGCCGTATAAGACACTGGTGTATCGTCTTTCTAAAGAACTTTGGCCATGGGTTTCATCATTGAACTACGTAGGATCTCCAAAATAATGAGCAAATTTCACAACATTCCAATTTCAGCAGTTCCGGATTTACTATGGACGACATTTTCTCAAAGGAGTTGTACACCATACGAGATAAAAATAATAAATAGATGAAACGTTAATTATTTCATTCACATTGAAATATTTATAAATAATTATATTGATTTCAAAGTTGCAGAGAACGTGTGTGTAGAAACGCATGTACATTTCATATTGAGATTCTTTCATATATTTTTTTTTATTTATTTTGATCAAGTTGTTTAAACGCAATCATTTATTCTTTACATTTTCATTTCTCTACTTATGTTCTAAACTACTTTAATTCACTGAAGCATATTTAATGCAGGAATGTTTTTTAAATTTTAATATAGTGTAGCATTTTGAACAAAATGCTTTTAGGGGTTGAGAAGTTAGGTAAAGGACAATTTGATTTAGTTTAGAAATCAAATACGTGGGTCTTACACAAATAACGAATCGAGGACTTTCTCGGTTGCAATCCGGAATTACTTAAAGTCCTGAACCTTTAAAGAATCTTCAATTTCATGTCAATAAACTTCTCTCAAATTTATCCAAATACTTAATTATGTACATTCCACTTGTATTCCTGTTATATTAAAAAAACGTTCGATCCTGTACTTTTGGGCCAATTTCATTTGTCACTGATCGGCGTACGCCGAATTGCGCCGGTCATATGACCGGCGTAAAACGGCTAAGAGGCAAATGAAGTAAACCGGCGAAAACATTTTTTAAAAATGAATAATTACGCTAAATGATAATCAATTAATTGAGTTTTATCACTTTTTATGCCCCCGCAAACGAAGTTTTTATGCCCCCGTAAACGAAGTTTCGGGGGTATATAGTTTTTGTCGTGTCCGTCCGTCTCTCTGTCTGTCTCTCTGTCTCTCTGTTTGTCCGCAAAAACTTTAACCTTGCCCATAACTTTTGATTTAGTTGAGCTATGACTTTCATATTTCATATGTGTATTCCTTGTGACAAGACCTTTCTTTGGGTACCACCAAATTTGACCTTTTGACCTTGGCCTTGGAGTTTGACCCACTTTTACATGAAAATTTTAAACTTTTACTTTGGCTAGATCTTTTGAACAGTAGATACCAGAACATTTATACTTCACATATGTAATGTTTGTTGAAAGACCTTTCATTGGATACCAACAACCTTGACCCTTTGACCTTGACCTTGTAGATTTCTGTACTTATGAAAAAACTTTAACCTTGGCCATAACTTTTGATATATAGGGCTTTCATACTTTATATATGTAATCCTTGTGAGAAGACCCTTCATTGGATACCAAGCACTTTTACCCTTTGACCTTGACCTTTGAGTTTGACCTACTTTAAAAAAGCAAACCTTGACCATAAATTTTAAAGGGTTAAGGCTAGTGCTCTCATACTTTAGATATTTCATCCTTGTGACAAGACCTTTCATTTGCTAACAAGAAAATTTGACCCTTTGACCTTGACCTTAGAGTTTGACCTACTTCAAAAAAAATTTTAACATTGGCCATAACTTCTGAATGGTTAGGGCTAAGGCTTCCATACTCTACATAAGCATTCTATGTGGCAAGATCTTTCATTGGATACCGATTACCTTGACCCTTTGACCTTGACCTTGGAGATTTTGCACTGATTGAAAAAACTTTAACATTGGCCTACTTTCAAATTTCACAATTGTTTTCCAGTGAGAATACCCTACTTTTGGTACCATTAAATTTATTTGCATTTAAGAAAAGTTTAATCTTTGCTATGTTGCCATACGGGGGCATCAGTGTTTCACAAACACATCTTGTTACATTATGTTTTAGTAGAATAATTCGAAATTCAATTTTAAAAAAAACCCATGGACCTCATGAAAAATTTTATTTTTCAGAGAATAAAAACATTTTTTAGATATTTGAATAGAGATTTGCTCAAAATATGCAAACAAATAAAGAACATGTCGATTTGGTAAAAAGTATCTGCATTTTCACAGTTGTTTTCTCTTCCCGCCATATATCCAAGACCGGCGATTTCCTCGCCGGTCATTTCAGACCGGCGCATACGGCGTACGCCGGCGAACCTTCCCCGGTCAAATGAAGTAACAAGCCGGGTTACGAAAGGTCAAGCGGCGCATTCGGCGTACGCCGGTATGACAAATGAAATCCTACCTTTGAGTCGATTTTGGTCCAGACCTTTATTTCTAAAATTCTGCATCATTACTAAGTTTTAACATTGAATTTAGATTCTACAATGCAAATTAAACTATATCCATTGCAAAAACCGCATATAGTTGTTTACTCATTTTGATTCATATTCAATCTGTTATTTACGCAGGCACCTAACGTTACTTATTTTTCTTTTAAAAAAAAAAATATATACACATGCCTAATAATAAACAAGGTACCCATCGAAACCTGCCATCTTGGATTTTCGAAGTAGGTCATCACTCTTATTTTCGTCTGAAACTCCGTCAAATAAATTCCCTGCAACCATATTCTTTCTGTGGCCAGTCTTTCGAGGTCTAAACTTACGGACACTGCAGCCAGAAAGGCGCATCACACTTGCAAATATTAAAAATCACTCGCCAAACTCGACCTACTGCTTCAACATTGCCAAGGGGGGCCGGAAGTTTACATCAATATGCTAATGGGAATTCCGTATTTGTCAGTTTTGTGGTGGATCTAAAGTGGCGTGTTATAATTACTTTGAAATTTTAATAAATATTTCGATAATAGAAAATGAAAAAAATGCAAAATGGGAAAAATAAAACACTTCTTATAAATATACCTGTAAAATATACTGTATTAATCTATACAGGTCGTTGCGTTCGAAACAATCTTGAATAAAAGAGGGGAGTGCTTGAAAAAAAAATCAACAACAAATCATCTAGAGTTAATTGAATCGTTTTCAAAAAACAATAGACTGCAAACCATCCAGTTATATATATATATATATATACACTGTACATATATACCTGACATATGCTTAATTGAAAAAGGAGAGGGATATCACACTAATAAAAGGATATGTAATGAAATCAAATATAAGCCTATGCAACATGTTTATATGTGTAATCTGTCACCAAGAAAAAAAAAATGTCGCCATGCCACTACTTTATTGCAATACATAAAATTGCAGATCTCAACACTCCCTGGGATAATTTTAATGTGGACCCCCCCCCCCCCCCCCTTCTCACACACGTGCGTACATACTTTAAATAAAGTCAATCTTCTCCACGGATAGCGCTCAATCAGGGCATCAATAATGACAGTGTTATTAATTATATTTAGTGAATGTAAGTAGGGACTTACAACCGACTCAATTTGTCTCGAAAATGTTCATTGATCAGCCAAGCTACGTAGAAGACTCTGGACTCACTTCAATACTTTCAGTACTTTGATTAATCCGTAAACAGAATCATCCTGCATTTCCTCGCCAAATTTGGAATCCCGAAATATGTGATGCAATAAAATTTACACAAAAAAACATTGTTAGTAACTTATCTTACAAGAAAAAGCAGTCATAATACCGCATTTTATTATTTCACCTTCTATACAGTGGTATACGGAATCAACCGAGGTTTGCCGAGATATATTACAGCTATGAAAAATCCAAAAAAATATCGAACGTGCATCATCCGCATGCGTGTGGCTTATTGGCATTGAGGAAGGACAAGGCCTGAAGGGGAAAAGAGGCGAAGCTAAGGTGAGTATTATATGTATTTGTTTAAAGTCTTTGGATTATTTATAGAAGTAGAAGAAAATGTATTTTTCTGTTAACGCAAATATTATGGAGAGAGGAATATTTAAATGCATGATGTAAGCAAGTCATAAAAGGATTTGAGACAAATGTGAACGGGTCTACGTGAACCGGCAAACGTGTGTGCATGTGGAGAATCCGACATCCGAGCCGGTCAACAATAGTACTGTATTCACAGCATTGTGTGCAGGGTTCTGTAAGAAATAAAAAAGAGGTATATTTTGAACTTCCGTATGCATAGTTTACTACATACCTACTGGTAGGCATTAATTCTAAGGAATTTGTGTAATTTTGTTTGTCGACTGTGGATGTAAGAATTGAACACATGTGCAAAATAATTTTAAGGTAAACCCAGTCAAGGGGTCAAGGCCTAAAGGGTCGGTGCACAATTGAATGGGTACTTGTATACTATTAATGTTTACTGAGACTGTGTACAGTGCACAGCTAGCGATTGCTTGTTCATTTTCTCCCAAATTTTGTGTTAGGATTATTGGCCTAGTATTTTTTCCTTAATTTTTCCCACCCATCCCATACAATTCAATTATTGTCACCTACAACAAACATTTTTTTCTAGTCCCCAGAAAAACATGCAAAAATATACTATTGCCATAGGCAACTCAAGATACATTTATGGTTTCTTTCATACTTATGAACTTTTTTATACCCCCCGCTTGAAAAGTGGGAGGGTATATAGTAATCGGGATTTCCATCCGTCCGTCCGTCTGTTACGCTTTATCTCTTATCTGCAACTCCTCTTATACTACTGAGTGAAATTTAATGAAACTTTCACAGAATCTTTATTAGATCTACATATTGACATTGTGCACCTCCTATTTTACTTTTTATTCGACACATATTTGAGGTTTCCCATAGCAAAAAATGGACATTGCCATTACCTATGTTTACCTATGACGTCACATATAGAAGCTTCTGGATAACATTTGATAGGACGAGTTACTAAGTATTCCTCTTTACACATTACCCTAAAACAATAGCAACACATGGATATTATGGGAGGCGGGGGGTATCATTTAGTGAGCTCATTGCTCACAGTACCTCTAGTTTCAAATAAGAAAACTAGAGGTACTGTGAGCAATGAGCTCACTAAATGATACCCCCCGCCCCCCATATGAATATAATGGCAGTATCCATGTTTTGCTCTGGAAAATCCAAAATATATGTCAGATCAAAAAGTAAAATAGGAGGTGCACAATGGCAATATGTAATGAAGATTCTGTGAAAGTTTCATTAAATTTCCTTAAGTGGTATGAGAGGAGTTGCGGATAAGAGATGGGTACCCCAAAGCATAACAGACGGACGGACATACAGACGGACGGACGGAAATACCGATTACTATATACCCTCCACTTTTCAAGCAGGGGGTATAACTAGATGTAATTGTTCAGCTAAATTAAGAACTCGCAAAAAATACAGATGCAACTGAATTTCTTAATCAAAGAGAACAAGATGCCCTGATCCCTCTTTAATGGTCTGTGAAGATGAACCCAAACCTCCCTGACAGTTGATAGCCTTTATATCCTAATTTATCAAATAATACAAGTGTGTTCATGAGGACTAATCCTAATCTCTAGGGTGGATGCGAGAGTAACCCTAATTAAGCATTCAAATACTTGTGCATGGGCTAACTTTAATACCTACCAAACTGGTGGGTGCAAGTCTAATTCTAATCAGTGGAATAGTGTCCAAGACTAACCATTATCAGTTGAGTGATGTAAATCTTGCATCAAAGTGCAACGACCATACCGATCATGTTGATCTGGGGACCGGTAAAGTCTACCCCTCATCTGCATACACCATAAGTCTAAATTCATTATAAAGATGTGGTTTACACAAGAATATGATCCCTATGTCACAGGTTTGAGAGGGGACTCTGATTTAATTTAAACTCATTTTTGAAACTTGAAACATTTTATCTTCTGATTAACTCATTCTTGAAACTTGAAACATTTTATTTCACTAAAGCCCCCTCATGGGGTATATTAGTACAACAAGAATTTAACAATTGAACAAGTAAACATGTGAACAATACATTTTCACTTTTGTCCAATGTTACTGTATGGTAACTTAAGGTCATCTTTAAAAGAACCGGCTGACTAAAAATGGCCTGACTCAAAACTTTTTTTCCTTTTTATTCCTCTTATCGGGTCAATAAATATAAGGAAATTTTCTGGAAAAAAGATTTTCCTACATATACCTTTACCGGCCCAGTAATATTACCCAGAGTCAGGAGAGGGCAAGCAAACACTATTTTAATTAAGTAGTTTTAGAATTAACTTATTCTTTTTTTTTTAGGATTTTGATCAAGGAAATACTCAGAAGTCATGACTCTTAAAGTTGGAATTAATGGGTATGTAATGTAGGAGTGAAACGATTCACCGTGGTATTTTTTCAGTTCTATATATGGTACAAAATTTCTACTTTTGGTTCGGTTCCTTTTTCAGTCGGGATTGTCATTCAGTCAGGTTTGGCATAAGGTATAAACATGCTTCTCTGTATAGTTAGTTCAAAAACATAATTTTTGTGGACTTAAAGTTTGTAAGATAATTTTTAACAGTCAAATCAATTAAATTGATTTATTCTATCTATTTTGCACATAAATTATTTGACTAGGTTAAGTAAAAGGAAGCATAATACATTAATACAACAGTTGAATTTGTTTCCTTCTTAGGCTTCTATCAAAATGTATCGTATCGAAAATAACCGAACCAAGACCAAATTTTACGATATGTATCGAACCTTGAATGAGGTGTATCGTTTCACCCCTAATGTAATGCACTTGATAAATATAAGCCTGAAATGGCGAATTTGATACATGTACATGTATTTCAGTTGCAAAACGAACATTAAAGTGTTGTCACATTCATTAATTTACTTGAGACACTTTCATTAACATTCTGTAAAATTTAGGGATGTCAAAATATTAATTTTCCTTAGTCGAACATTCGATTGCATTATTCGAACGATAGTCGACTATTCACAACATTTCTTTCTTTTTTTTTAATAGCACAGTGTTTTTGAAAGCTTATTAATTAAAATAAATTGGGAAAATGAAATAAATTGGAAATGGGGAATTGTAAACACAGACTATCCACACCTCCGATGAAAATGTTAAATACTGTTTTCAATTAATGATTGCCCAAGCTATATATCAAAATGTCCTTTATGTAAGATTATTTTCTAATAATTACTATCGAACTTTAAAACTTCACGGCTATGCAAATATTGTGTTTTCCTAAGCATTTGAAATTCCTAGAGTTTATAAATATAATTGGTACAAGTCAATTAAATAATTTTCATAGTCCAGTATGGCGTTGCATAATTTAATACGTACAATAACAAAAAAAGTCAGTGATTGAGAAATAATAATCGCAGTATGTAATTACTGTATTTTCCATATGTACAATGCGGAAAATTATTTGTATACTGTGACTCTTATTCGTCTGAAAACGTACCCTATTCAACTGTGTAGTTTGAGGAAGGACCTTTTTTCAATTTTGAGATGAAAATTTCATTATCACCCCCATTTTCTTGCGTTTTTTTAATATTCGAATGTTGTTTCATTATTCGATCGTCGGTCCATTCGACTGACAGTCGAATAGTCGACTATTCATTGACATCCCTAGTAAAATTATTAGTACTTTCATGATCAATGGAAAAATAGATGGACCATGATACTTTGATAAACATAAAGAAGATCATACTACCCTCATATTTAAGTACATACTAGTGTGTTTTGACTTGTAGATTTGGGCGTATTGGCCGCCTTGTACTGAGAGCAGCTTTAGATAAAGGGCTTGATGTTGTAGCAGTCAATGACCCTTTCATCGACCTTGAGTATATGGTATGACTGACATTTATCTTTGATTACATGAGTATCAATGATTGTCTGCAGTCTGTTTTGTTAAACCCTGTATAAATTATTGCTTAATTTATTTTATAAAAATAGCCATTTTATCACGTACTGATAAATAAATATTACCTTTGAATGCAGTCTAAATGTTATGAAAATAAAAAATGTTGTCTTCTTTATAATACAGGTATACATGTTCCGTTATGATTCAACACATGGAGTATTTGAGGGTGAAATCAAAACTGAAGGTGGAAAACTAGTGATCAATGGAAAGGCTATGTCTGTATATGCAGAGTAAGTTTCACTTTGTAAAATATTTTTCATCTGAATTCTTAAACACATACTAGTGAAATAACTTGGAAAGCTACTGATTCAAAACTTTCCAATATTTTCTGTGTAGGAGAGATCCAGCTAATATTCCTTGGTCCAAAGATCAAGCTGAGTACATTGTAGATTCCACTGGGTGCTTCACAACTCTGGACAAAGCAGGGGTATGTAGAATCAAGAAATGTCTCTTGTTTTGGAACATTTTGTTTTGGTTACTATTTACTTTTTACCCAGGTAAATAGTCAAGTTAACTTTTCTGTCCATCTTATTTGTCTATCTCTAGCATCTGATTGTAACCTATATACCAAAATGCTATTTGCATACCAATCCAAGAGAATTTTATTCTTTAGTATTGATATCTTCATCTTCAGAAGCACTGGGAAAATTTGAAAATTATTGCTCGAATTGTTTTTCTTTCCATGGTACTTGTTCTCCTTATCTTAGATATTACTGTTTCAATTTTCATTTTTAAAAGTCAACCAAACTTAACACAAAGTTCCTTGGATTTCAAGGACAGACAATCAAGAAATGGTAAACATATATTACATGGCTACAAGGTTGAGATACCAGAATGTTTGCTTTTTGGAAAGTCTTTGAATATTAAGTCATTTGTGCCAAACGCAGAGGGTGACTTTAACACTTCAAGGTTTTTATGTCACCGAGGGGCAAACATTCTGGTAAAGCCACTCGAGAAGCCATGTGAAATATATTTTATAACATTTTCAAAATTAAAAAAATCATTTAAAATTTTGTAAGTTTAGACAAATAATCCAAACATACTTTCAAGACATCAAGAATTACCTTCACATAAATACATTTGCTTAGCAACCAACATCATTAAATCTTGAAGCAATCTAAAAAGCATATAATAAACACACCTGAAAGTGATCAAGAGGGTTTTATTGCTGTTTACGTTGGGCGATATAACTATTTCTGGCATGTGATATAACTGTTTCCGTTGTGATTCAGCATTCTTTAGGGTTTATAGTTAAACTTATTACATTTGTGATATAGTAGGAGAACTTTAAAAAAAAAAAAATTAAAATGTTACATTAAAATACTCCTTCTTTCCTAAGAACTGGGTCCCCACAAAATGTATATGTAGCTTAAAAAAAAGCTCTCTGACATATTGCAGATTAAACTTTGATCTGTTGGCTGAACAATTTTTAATATGTAGATATTCTCTGTAAGTGTAAGTGCAATTTATGTTTCAGGCCCATATGAAAGGAGGTGCCAAGAAAGTCATAATCTCCGCCCCCTCAGCTGATGCCCCAATGTTTGTTTGTGGCGTCAATGAAGAAAAATACACCAAGGATTTGAAAATTGTCAGGTAAAATATAAACAGGAGGACTTCCTCACATTCAAAATTTTGTTAAGGTTGAATCCAATCAAAGGTTCCAGACTTAAAACAATTTCATAAATTTCAATGTCTTATTGCTCAATATGCTCAGTACCCTAAAGTTTAAGTCAAAATCTTGACACACAGGTGATGGGCAGCAAAACACAAGAAGTTTTAATCCATTCTTATCTAAGATTCCAGAGTTATATATCATAGCATGACAAACTCTCAACATCTGTAGGGCTTACTAAGTACCTATTAGGATAGGATTCCATATCCATTTGGAATTCATTTTTATATAAAATGAAATGAATTTTAGAAGACATAATTGTCAAGTCATTGAAAAATAATACATTGCCATATAACAATAAAAGATTTTTTAAAATTTCAGCAATGCATCCTGTACTACAAATTGCCTCGCTCCCCTGGCAAAAGTCATCCATGAGAAATTTGGAATTGTTGAGGGTCTGATGACAACAGTACATGCCTACACAGCCACACAGAAGGTGGTGGATGGGCCCAGCAACAAAGACTGGCGCGGTGGGCGTGGCGCTGCCCAAAATATCATTCCTTCCTCCACTGGAGCAGCTAAAGCTGTAGGAAAGGTCATACCCGATCTGAATGGGTGAGTATATAAAGAGATTTGACTTGATATGAAAATAATTCATGCAGTCCTCAAATGATACCGGTACTCTTTGTCACAATCAGTCAGGCAAGCTGCATAATGAATAGCTAGACTCATTCCAGACTTGTGCTTTGTAAGGTGTATGGTTCAGTTGTTTTTTCAATACTTCAGTTTTCTATAGTCTTACTTGCATGTTGTAAACAGGATTTTGCTTTAACAACTCAATGAAATAAGTCATGTTGAATTTTAATAAACAATGGACATTTGATAAAATAGCGAAATATTTTGACAGAAAACTAACTGGAATGGCCTTCCGTGTACCCGTTCCTGATGTTTCAGTGGTAGACTTAACCTGCAGGCTCAATAAGGGGGTAAGATTTATTGCAGATATATTATATATCATGTTGGATTTTATTTTGAAAATTCTTTTAGGTTATTAATATGTCTAATCTTGAAGACAAAATTAGCCAGACTAGACAATATTCTGGAATAGACAATTTTAAACATTTGAATTATTTGAAAAAACGTCATGCAAGATTTCTTACGACACAACATTTGGATAAAACAACTTTTAAAATATAAATTATTTTGAGAATGTTTAATATTAAAATCCAGAAATTGTTTCTTTAAGGCTTCATACAATGACATCAAAGCAGCTTTAAAAGCAGCTTCAGAAAATGAACTGAAAGGAATTTTGGGCTACACTGAGGATGATGTAGTATCCCAGGACTTCCGTGGGGACAAGAGGAGCAGCATAGTTGATGCCAAGGCTGGAATCGCTCTCAATGACAACTTTGTTAAGCTTGTTTCATGGTAAGAAAAGTTTTTAATGTCCCATCATTGAAATGTTTTGGTCATATAATGATTGCATTGTTGTTTCCATTTCCTCATGCCCCTGCTAAAAATAGCCAGTTTGTGTTTACATAATCTTCATTTGAGAATCTTTTTGGTATAAAATATTGCATAAGCTCAAAATCTTCTACTTCCTGATTATTACACACATACAGAATGTATAAATTTACGACTTGGGAGCAAAATGCAATTTTGCCACATGTTTTATATAAAATTTCATTGCAATAGCTCAAATGGTTCAGGTGGCCGAAAGTGTTTTAACAACTCACCTTGACCGACCTTTTGACCTCAAAATCATTTTTTTCACCAACACTATAAAACTCGCCGATACGACAAGTCACCGAAAGAAAGGGCATGGACAGACACATCATCCACTGAATATATAAAACATCGAAATTAACAAATATTTAGAGAAAATCGTGTATGTGAATAAACGTTTTTATTCATTTTCAAATCTTTTTTTCCATTAAATCAATAACTTCACTCAATATTGCCGACCTATGACCTTTAAAAGCAGCTTCAGATTCACGAGAAGCAATTGTTGGGCTACACTGAGGATAATGGATATACAAAAAAGACAAAGAAATACATGTTTTTTAATACATCTTTGATTATGTTTATTATATCTGAAGTTTTTAATGTCACGAAATGTATTCATAAAAACATTGTTGTTTCCATTTTCATTACACTGACACTATTGTCGGTGAATCTTCATAGTCTATTTTAGGATATTTCACTTTTGTCGGTGACCTGTCTTTCGGTGCAAAGCAATTTTGGCACCGTGTTTTTACAGTGTATTACACTGACCTCTATTTCCATGATATATTGCTATTAGCTCTGTTTTAAATACTAGTAAACCTCTCTGATATTTTATTTGTTATATTTACGCAGGTACGACAATGAGTTTGGGTACAGCTACAGGGTAGTGGATCTTATCAAGCACATGTATGCAGTAGACAGCAAATAGAATGGACAAAGACTCGTACTCCTTTTTATAGTGTCATTGTTTTGGGATTCTTGTTGTGATTATGTTATGCTTTATCTTATTTAATACTAGAAATAGAGTATATGAATTGAAATTAATCTTTATTGAACATTGGTGCATAATCTAAAATGAATCTTCCTGTTAGTGCTTTGAGGTCAGACAAAATACTGTCAAGCTTACTTATCATGATGCTATGTTCAATTTTTGTTTTATTTCCTGGATATTTTTTTTTAGACTAGCTGAACTCTTTCAGTATTTGTTAAATTATATTACTGCATTTCACAAAATAAAATTTTCATCGTGGATACTAAATTTTGTTTGACATACTACTAAAGGACATTCTGCAAAGGTGCACAACTGCATGGATTAACCTTTTATTCAGTATTGTGCTTGTGTGAAAAAAAGATGAACAAGTTTGAATTTTTCACCTCCAGAGGGGAACCAACAACCTGGGGTTATTTGAACAAACTTGAGAGTCTACACTACCTGAGGATGCTTCTGTACTAATGTATATATGAATAATCATGGCTTTGTTCTTGAGAAGAAGATTTTTAAAGATATTTCCTGTATATTTTTACCTATAAATTTGATCCCCTACTGAGCCCACACTACTCTAGGGGTCAGGATTATTAAATTTTCACTAATTCTGTATTATCTCCCCTTCAAAGATGGTATGGACCATTTAATCCTCTTCACACAGGAACACTCTGTACAAAATTTAAATAATATTGGCCCAGTGGTTGTGGAGATGAAATTGTAAAAAGTAGACAAGGACTACCAACATTGGACTAATTTTAATCATTTGGCTCAGGTGAGCTAACTAGTCACTTTAGTGTTCCCCCACTGATGCAATTTGTCATGCTTGAAATAACAAAAGACTCATGGCCACAACAATAACATGAATGGGTGGCCCTACTGTTCTGCATAAGATTTTTTTTCCAAACATAGGTGTACCTGTGTTGGTATGGTGTAAAATTATAATTACCTTTTGTGGCCTCACCCTTTACAATAGTTTGAACAGAAATGAATTATCTACACTACCAGGGGATGCTTCCTCATTTATGTGATTCATCATGGCTCCAGTTTGCTGTTATAGAGAAGAACCGTTTTAAAGATTTCCCTCTGTATAATAACTACTGAAGGGAGCAGTAAGCTGAACAGTTTACAATCTACCCAAACTCAATTACCTGTCACACAACTTTCACTTTTTCTTCTTGAGTTTACAATCTACCCAAACTCAATTACCTGTCACACAACTTTCACTTTTTATTTCAATATAACTTGACACAAGATTTTTTCTGTGTAATTTCGAGATATAAAATTTCTGTAAATTCTTTCAAAATGCTTTTCTACAGTTTTAGTCCAAGATAACTTGGCACACAAGTAGACTACAATAAGATACATAATTCTGTGTATCATTTTTAGATTTCATAACGTCTGATTGATTTTTTTACTTTTTTACATTTCAATATAACTTGGCACACAAGTAGACTACAATAAGATACATAATTCTGTGTATCGGTTTTTGATTTCGATTGTTGCCGTGGTTATTTTTCTGTGAAATTCTTTCAAAATGCTATACAGTTTTAGTCTGATTTCAATATAACTTGGCACACAAGTAGACTACACTAAGATACATAATTCTGTGTATCGGTTTTGATTTCGATGAACGGTGTTGCCGTGGTTACTAAAAATAGAAATTTCTGTGAAATTCTTTCAAAATGCTACTCCTTCTACAGTTTTAGTCTGATTTCAATATAACTTGGCACACAAGTAGACTACAATAAGATACATAATTCTGTATATCGGTTTTTGATTTCGATGAACGGTGTTGCCGTGGTTGCTATTTTCTGTGAAATTCAATTTTTTTAAAAATATAAATGTGGCTAACTACATTTAGAATTAGTGTTTTCAATTTCCATAATTTTAGCTTTTCTAGGCTAATGGTTCTTGGGAAGAATATTTAACAACAATTCTATTTAATACTCAGTATTTCAATGTCAACTTTGATTCCCTACTTTGGCCCCATCCTACCTACGTGAGCAATGGTCTAAACAATTTAGAATATGTACTTTATCAGGAAGCTTCCACGCAAGTTTCAGTTTTTTAAAAAGATATCTCCTATGTATTTCAATATTATCCTTTGATTCTCTTTCATGGCCTCCTAAGGTCCTTGACCTGAACAGTTTTAAATCTACACTACCCTAGAAAACGCCCACAAAAGTTTCAGTTTTCAAGCCTGGTGGTTCTTGAGAAGATTTTTAAATGATGTGATCTTTATTTTTTTTTCTCTTCCCTTGAAAAGGGTTGACCCTTAAATATAACAATTAGAATCCCCTTTATCCAGAAATTCTGTGTTGGCCCAGTGGTTCTTGATAAATTAAAAATGTGAAACGTTTACAGACGGATGGACAGACAGACAGATGTCGGACAACAGGCGATCAGTAAAACTCATCGGGTGAGCTAAAAAAAACAGGAAGCATTCTTCAACAATAAAATAATTGAACAGAAATGACAAAATTACATTTCCGAATTTTCAAAAATATTCAACATTTTTCTTACAAATTGGCAGAGGATAGACTGACAAAAAAATGAATAGCACCAAAGAGAATGTAACTGAAAGTATTTTCAAAGTATTCGTATAAAAAGTTTAAAAAAAACTAAGAATGATTTGTGAATAAGACAGTCTTCACGAAATTGGTACATGTAGAGCTTTGACAGTTATTTACTTGATTCTGTCTGCAAATCTCATTATTTTTTCACATTTCAACTTTAATTCTTTTTCCTACATCGGAATAGAACTTAAATTATATTCCGTGCTATTGCTGACAGATTCGAATATGTAGCGGTAATGAGTAGTAATCGCCAGTTGTCTTGTTAATTAAATGTAGCAGTAATTCGAAGTAAAGTAGAGGTGATGAGTTAAAATTGTTTGTAATGTAGTGGTAATGTTGACCTCCCGTACAGTACCCTATTGAATAGAACTCATATTCCTTGTCATTGCCGACAGATTCGAATATGTAGCGGTAATGAATCAATTGCAATCGCTAATTGCTTCTTTGAAAAAATGTAGCGGTAATGGTCGCCCGGAATTTGAAGAAAATTAGCGGTATTGAAAGTTTATTAATTTTTTTCATACAATGTACATGTAGCGGTAATGTTGCCCTCACATATATTTAAAGTACATGTACTAAAATGCACTGAAAAAAGTGTGACCACTCTCGTGATAAAGAAAACTATAAAAAAAACTAATAACAATGAAGCCTTGTACCCCTTACTGGCTATGTAAAATAGCTTGATTTTGTTATTAGGATTTTTCTGAAATGTGCACGTTTAACAAAATGCACTATCAAACTTTGTTGAAAAGTCTTTTTTCTGAGCAATTACAATCAAATAAAAGTTTGGGAGGCTTTTCAAAAGCTGTTATTCGTGACTTGAAGGAAAATGTTCATTACTGTGTAATTTCACAATCACTCAGACTGGTTCAAAATGCATATATACTGATTGATACATAAACAATTTTGTGACTAAGTAAATATAGGTACAAATTATTGCTTATCTGTCATTATATGGAATTCTTTTCTTTGAGCCTTGAGTTTAAAAACAAAAATTTTCTTGTTACTGAGAATCTTCATGTATGTGAGTGAGTACTATTCACTAGAAAGGTCTATCTGAGTGGTGCTGTTCATTGCAAAGGCTTGTCTATAGGTGAGTACAACTCACTGGGTAGGTCTATCTGGGTGAGCACTACTCACTAGGTAGGTCTATCTTGGTGAGCACTACTCACTAGGTAGGTCTATCTTGCTGAGCACTACTCACTAGGAAAGTCTATCGTGGTGAGTACTACTCACTGGGAAGGCCTGTTTTAGTGAGTAGTTCTCACTCGGTAGACCTCTCGATCTGAGTGAGTAGTTCTCACTTAGGTTCTCCTATCTTAGATACAACTCACTGCTGCGTAGAGCTCTTTGGTTGAGTTCTACTCACTATGAAGAGCTAATTGAGTGAGAATTTGTCACTGGATAGACGTGTTTGAGGCAGTGTTTTTCATCTAATAATCATGAATGATTGAGTATTCACCTTTGGAAGTAATTGTTACTAAGAATACAAGGTTTTGATAACTGTACAGTCGCAGATCGGTGAGTTACATGCATGTTTCTGCAGCTGGCAAATGTATTGTCACTGTACATAGCATATCAGAGTGAGTAACTTTATCGTCACTGACATAATTTTACATTCATTTTGATATCATTTGTATTTAAATCGTATATGATATTATATGAAATACACATCTTTGTGTAGTGAATTATTTAATTGACAGGTCACCGACAAAAGTGAAATTTCGTTTCTAACATCATCCCCAAAGTATTTTCCGACAAGGAAAACACAATTCAAGAATTTCCTTATAATAAAAAAATTTAAACCCAAACAAACAAATTTTTATGATAATTGTTAGATGCAGTCACCTACAATGTAAATGTTCAGATATAATAAACATAATCAAAGATTTATTTAAAAACATGTTTTTCTTTGTCTTTTTTGTACATCCATCATATTGGTCTAGCGCATACAGATTGCTTCTGTGAAAAAAAAGGTCATAGGTTGGCAATATTGTTTGAAGTATTTACAAACAAGATTTAATAAGGAAAAGATTTGAAAATGAATAAAAACGTTTATTCACATACACGATTTTCTCTAAATATTTGTTAAATTTTAAGTTTATATATTCGGCCTTATCCTGTGTCTGTCCATGTCCTCATACGTTCGGTGACTTGTCATCTCGGCGGGTTTTATATGTATAAAAAAGTGCCACGAGTCTTCTTCGGTGATTGTCTGGAAAAATTAAACCTGTGTTTGCCACCAATAACATTTAACTTTTTTGTCATTTACCACACAAAATTACAATGATTCCATTGTATTTTATCGTCAGATTACCAGGAATGCGATGGTAAGGTGTCCGTCGTCCGTCCGTTATACTGTAAACTGTCTGTCCGTCTGTCTATAAACAATTTTTAAAAACGCTACTCCTCCTACAGTTTTGGTATAAAATGATTTCAATATTACTTGGCACACAAGTTAATTTTCATTCATTTGATGATACAAAAAAAAGTGATTGGTTTTTGATTCAATTTGTACAAAATTTGCCATGGTTACGTAAAAATAGAATTTTCTGTGAAATTCCTTTAAAACGCTTTTATCCTATACAGTTTTTTTTATCTGATTTCAATATTACTTGACACACAAGTAGACTATTGTTAAATATAAAATAGTGCATCGGTTTTTGATTTTGATGAACGGTGTTGCCATGGTTACTAAAAATAGAATTTTCTGTGAAATTCCTTTAAAATGCTACTTCTCAAAAAGTTTTGCTTGACGTGATTTCAATATAACCTGGCACACAAGAAGACTTTTTCACTAAAAAATAGAAAAATTGCATCGGTTTTTGATTTTATGAACGGTGTTGCCTTGGTTACTAAAAATAGAATTTTCTGTGAAATTCCTTTAAAATGCTACTCGGTTTATACAGTTTTGGTTAGATTTCAATATTACTTGGCACACATGTAGACTACACTAAGATACATAGAATAGAGAGGGGTTTTTGATTTCGATGAACATGTTGCCGTGGTTACTAAAAATTTTTGCGATAGAAATGTCTGTGAAATTCCTTTAAAACGCTACTTCTTCTACAGTTTTGGTCTGATTTCAATATTACTTGGCACACAAGTAGACTACACCTAAGATACATAAAATAGTGCATCGGGGGGGGGTTTTGATTTCGATGAACAGTGTTCAATTGTTATTAAAAATAGAAATGTCTGTGAAATTCCTTTAAAACGCTACTCCTTCTATAGTTTTGGTCTGATGGCAATGGCTTCTTTTCTCATCCTTTGGTATAAGTACAAACCAGTAGAGCTACAGTCTCGACAGAGACTTCTGGTTATCTCAGTATTTTGACCTAGTAGTTCTTGACATTTTTTTAAACGAACCCAATATTTCCCTATCTATATTTAACTTTATATGCACTCAAATTTAAAGATTCATATCTATGACAACATACTAACTTTCACCTTTGACATCCCCCTCTAGCTTTGCGCATGATTAGTCCACGAATAATAACGATCTTTGTTTCAGAAAGACATACCCGGGGGGTATTAACATATTAACATTGTAAAGTGAACTTTATAGTTAAAAAAAAAAAAAAATCTGCGACAGTGATTCTTCAAAGGATTCTTATATTCTATTCTTTTCAATGTGTGTGTTTCCCTTTCCTCTGGAGAGGCCTTTTGATTACTTGAGCAAATTTGAGTCGCATTTATTAAAAAGTTTCAAAATATGGAAAAATTGATAAACTATATTCAGTATGAAAAACTAACTTCAATCCTTGACTTGAGCAAGCTTAAAAATGTAACTTGATGTTTTTTATCATGATTGAAGGTTCAACCTCTTAGACTTCAAAGAATCTGGGGGGGGGGGGGGGGAGGATGAATCGAGCAAAATACCCATGCTTATTTGCAGCTATGCAAGTACATACAAAGTTAAGTCACATGGGTATTTCAATGTGTACAGTAGTAATTATGCTATCTTAAATACTTAACCTATAATCCGTACACAAGGGTACAATATATATTTTCTTTCATTTGCCTTTACAAACATATACAAAAGAATCATTAAAGTGGAAGTAGATTAACCTTTTCTTTAATTTTCAACATTTCCAATACACAATAATCGTGATTTGCGCCTGCTTACAGCCTCTATCAGGTCCACACGGACTGCGGTCAGAGTTCTCCATTCAGTCTCGGACAAACCATGTATAGCCAGAGTTATGGCGTGCAGATCTGAAATCATGGCAACAATCATTTTAATTTTGTTATTATATATATTTTTTATTTGGAATAAGAATTTCGAAGTAGGTATACATATGCCTATCTAATTCGAATAACCGAAATATTGAACCCCTCTAGAATTATCCTCGATTCATGTTATATTTTACAATACATGTACCTATCATTCGTTGCTGCTGCATCTGGCACATTGCTTGGACTGTTTCAACCTTGAGTTTGCAGTACAAGTTCAATTCTTTAAGGTGTTGACATCTTCTGAGTACCAGCAGAAGATCAGAGTCAATCGGCGGATTCCGGTCCAAGTGCAAAGTTAAGCATTCTAGAAAGAATCTTGAACTGGTTAAAAAAGGGCTTTATCTTCAAAATTTGTCAAAAATCTGCCGTTTTTCATAAAATCATGTTTAACTTTAGATTAAAAAAAAGAACGACAAAGAGTATACAGCCGAAAAAGTACAACTTTCCTGGCTAACCTTGGCTTCAACTTTGATTTCACATTCTAATTTAGTTACAACGTTGTTAATTCCTTCCAATTTTTAAATCATTAATTATTTTTCCCCACATCGACTCAAAATGTAAAACTTGCTGTTGCCTTTTGCTTATGCAAACTGCTTTTCTACTGATGCTCATTAACTGTTTGCATCTTAAATTTTTCAATTTTTACCTAAACGATGACAAAAAGTCGTTGATATATGACCAAGAGTTCTTGAAATTTGCGATTCTAGTGCTCTTCGCGCACTCTCAGTGGACGGCCAAGAAACAATGTCTATTTCCTTCAATGGGATCCCAGAAACAAGAATTGATGGCACATCTTGTTTAAATGCGGATGCATAAATGTACAATACAACCTCCACATTTTGACAATTGTTAAAAAAATCGTTCCAATCTTTGTTTTGTATTATATTTGAGCTGACATCAGAGTCTATTGTTAAGGTTAACTTATGAAATTTTTTCCCCATATGTTTGGAAATGTTCGACAAGATTACGCTATTAATAGTATCATAGTTCGTATACATCCATGAAATACTTTTAAATCTAGTAATAGCCGACGTGTATCGTTTGTGTCTGTTTGGGGAAACATGAGCCTGGAACATGTCCTCTATAAACGCCGTTTTTAAAGTCTTGTAAGCCTTTCCTCTTCCAAGAGATTCCAACACTCGACAACCATCTGTCAGCGACATTTTGGCTGCAATAAGGTTAATTAAAGACACTTCTTGTAAACTTTTCAAGAACATACACAGAGCCGAAACAATACGGTTTCTAGACAAAATGAAATGCCAGCGCACCTCCATGTTGGCGTTTTGAAGTGTAAATTCGCTTATTCTTAAGTCCGAAATACGAGATGCTTTTCTAAAAAATAATTCCACAGCCTTCGAAATTTGTTTGGCATTCCGAAAAGTTGGAGTTGAAAATCCAACAGTAAGGTGTTTTAAGTTTTTTCCAAAAGACCTCAGGAATCCTAAAGACTTGGTTGCTACAGTAAAAGGGTTTTCTGCACTAAATATCACTCTCCTTGTTCTCCAAAGTTGTGGACTCTGAAATATTCGATGCCAATTTTTACAAACAAGCGCAGTGGTCAATCGATCCTCATCCCCAAGTTGAGAAAATACTTCTAAAAGAACCAAGTCTGGCAAAACGTTCCAGTCCGATGGATCCATGATGGTTGTCGCGTATGATTTGTGGCGTTACCATGGAAGCGCACGTCTTTGTGAGAACAAAGCGATGACGTAAACAACGTATTTCAACAAAAAGAAACGTTTTTTAAAAAAGGAAATCTTGGAATTAAATACCAAAAACACAATTTTGATCGCATCAATCATTCAAACTTTAGAATGAATGACATTATGGACATTGCATAGGTCACAATAATGTTTTCAGGATGTCCATAATTTAGGCGGATGTAACGTCATAAATAGGTATACCACATCTTACATGAACAGTTACATGAATCATAATACACTTCTTCCGCATTTCATTCACATACAATCAATATCATAAAACACTTTTGTCTTTATTTTTGTTGCAACTACCCATACCTTAACCGATACAAATTAGCAGCAAGTACCTAACCCGTTTCCAATCAGAAAAAAGACACCCATCAAATATATTTTAGTAATTACTGAGTTAGTGAACGAACTGTCCTGTTACGCTGAATCTTAAATAATAATCAATTATTTTTAAACTATCTCATTTTATTTAAAATGTTAACGTTTATGAAAACCCAGATTGGTTTTGACGTCACAAACAACAATCAAAAACGTCACAGTGCGCCAAAAGTCACAATAGAAACCGTGGAGCCCTTGGTTTGTGGTTTCAACAAGCAAAAATAAAATCTGAGAAGTACTGATGGAAAAATGGAACAATCAACGTGGGAACACCTACCAGACGTTGTAATAATTGAGGTCTATAAATACCTACAGGATGAAGAAAGAGTCAACGCGGCACTAACGTGCAAAAACTGGAGAAGGTTGTATTACACACCGTGTTTATGGAGGACAAGGCATTTTGATGTTGGTGGATACCGGATACACGCCAATGCTTTGAAGGCGTGTCAGTTTGCTACCCTTCTGGGGAGGCATGTGCAAAATTTATCAATAAACTGTAGCCATCCTTCATATCATACAGCTAAACTTTTTCAAAAAACAATGAATGAATTACTTTTTAAAATGCGCCACTCAAAGTTAATTGAATTTGAATTAGAGAGATTGGAGCTAGAACGGTTCTGGAGATGTGAAACCGCAAGAGATCGCCTGATTTCAAGCTTTGTCCGATTTTTTCGCTATCAAGATCGTATACAGATCTTTGATATGACGGCAGCTCAGTTTTCATCCATGGGCGGAATTCGTGTTCTGGAAACACTCGGAAGCCAGTCCGGAGATACCATAAAAGAAATGTACATCGAGGATTTCTTCCACCCCCGTCTAGCAGTTTTCCAAGTACCACGATACATCAACAGTTTAACCTTATTTAAAAGTGTAGAATTCTTAGCGTTAAACTACAACTGTATATCAGAGGAGGTGATCCTCCTTTTTGCTAAAACTTTAGCTGGAAAGCTAGACATGATAAACATTAAAGTTTACAAAAATGATCCAAGATTTCATAGGATAAGTGGAAATGCATGGGGAGTTCTTAAACGTGCTTGTCCGAAAGTAGTAGTTACGTTCTGGTTCGAGAGCATCGGTTTCATGCACGAAATCGTACCGATCCTTGTACGGGAAATTCCTGTACGCGATTTTCACATCTGGACAGGTTACGATGATGATGCAGACTGGAGGCTCAATGATACAATACGTCATCTTCACCTAATGTACAAACACTGCATAGGTAGATCAAGTTATCATCACTTTGTATTTAATATAGCTGCAGATCTGTAGCGTTATGGTTTGATATATTTGTCTCTCTCTAACGCCCCAGATCCTGTAATGCAAAAAAGAGGTGCAATATACCACAATATTTTTTGCGCGCTTTTAGATCCAGGGCGAATTTCTCCACTTTCAAGCTCTCTGGTCAATCAACTACCTTTCACTCCCTAACTTTTGACACATGAAAGTAGACTTCAATGTGTATATTTTATCCACCTTTCAACCATTTATAGTTGTCTCTACAGGCAATAAAGTCGCTAGAAGTGAATTTTCAGTAATATCACAAATAATTTTAATCAAGCGAGTTTATCACTTGTAGGGACGAGTATAAGTGGTTGGGGGGTGTATAAAATATACATATTGGCTACAGAATGTGTCTAGAAATAGGAAGTGAAAGGTAGTTGATTGACCAATGCTTGAAAGTGGAGAAATTCTCCCCAAAAGCGCGCAAAAAATATTGCGCCGTAAATTGCACCTTTTTTGCATTACAGGATCTGTAGCGTTATGGTCAAAGACAAATATATCAAATCATAACGCTACAAATCTGCAGCTATATTTAATACTGAATACTCAAATTCTCTCTCTCTGTATCCCCCCCCCCCCAAAAAAAAAGAAGCGATACCATCAACTCTACTTTATTGTTTTGTTTCAATATTGAATGGTATTGTAGTCGTATTCATATTTGCGATGCCATTTTCTTCTATGTCCGCCGTGGCCAGTGTATTTATTACTCATATTTTGTAATAGTAGCAGAGACAGAAGAAACAAGGCACGTTTCTTCATGCTGCTGTTTAAATGCATCATAAATCGGGCCATTCCTTTGGATAAATGTTACTGAGTAATTAGTCAATTGTGTGGAAACAAAGAAAATAATAATAAAGATACTATATATTCTATTTCTAATTAAGAGCAAGGATTTAACATTAATTTTTTATCTGTAAGAATCTGTGTCGCTGGAACTGGATAACACCCATGAAATGGTGGACGAAGAAATTCTACAGCTGGTGAAGACGTGTCAATGTCTAAGGGACTTAACTCTTAATGCTGTCATCCTTGTCTCCACGGTTAGAGAGATTATGGAGCTTCAGAGAGAACGTAAAATTGGTAAGCAGCCTTTTAATTATTAAAAAAAAAAATGTTTCCATTACCCATTTTTTTTAATGAAGAGTAAGGAAATATTATATCATGTTTCACATGAGTTCCTCCATATAACTATGAACAATCTTTAAAAGAAGCTAAACCCTCAAAAGTATTTAATACAAAGTACTTAAATTCAACCCTTTCTCTGAGAACTAACATTGTCTTAACATAAAAATGTTTTCTATGTAATTTATATTGTACTTTATATTTAGGAAACACATCCTTCTACCATTCTCCTGTTTGGATTTGAGCAGGGGAATCTCAAATAAAAAATAATCAAAACTTTTCCTGTTTGTATGGAGTATTAGGACTATATTGTATACAAGATATTCATGAAACAATTCCTAGATTTTTATATCTATGTGTTTAAAATTTCAAGAGCATATACCGTATATACTCGCCTATAAGTCGGTCCGCCTATAAGTCGGTTGTATTTAGTAAGCTTGCATATCAGATGGACTGACCTCATATAAAACCATACTTTTAATAGCTCGCCTATAAGTCGGACAATGAGTTTTAGACCAGATATTAACTCCCAAAAAACCGACTTATAGGCGAGTATATACGGTACATTGTATTTTAGTTTTACACTTTTCCTTTTTTAAATACCCCTCTTAAAGAACATCCATCCTTTCTAGTAGAAATATTCTATTCCAAAACTATAACCAAATGTTTCCAACATAATTAACACATAGCTTGTAAATAAAAGCGTTTTCACAACCACTTGTCTTTTCCAGAGTTGAGAACATTGCGGGTAACTGCCTGTAGCCTGACAGAGTTAGAATGGGCCCAGCTGGCCGAAATCAAAGATCACTACAGCACCATGATAGAAGAGAGAGGCCTCGACTTTAAATTCACAACAGATTTAATCATCGATTTTTCTTAACAATTAATTCAAATGCATAAGAATACATAATAAAAAAATTTGTATAACTTAATATACATTTAAAGTTTTGGATAAATGTACATTCACAAGATCTTAAATTTTAGTACAGATATATGATATAAGTTAGCAATAAAATGATAGTTTCACTCAAACTTTGTTTGATTCTGACATTACAAAATGCTGCATAACATACATGCGTATATGTATATAACATGTTAGTAAGTTTAAACTAAATATACAAGTTCAATGCCTGTTCTTAAAGTAATAAAACAAAAAAGTAGTTACTAATAAGCACTATTTACACATTTTGATGTAATGATATTGCACATTTAAATGTTTATTGATAAAATATATCCCCCCAAATAATTACTGGCTCTAAACACATGACCTTGACCTAACATGACCTTTGCATCTGGCTGATTGTAGCTCTACCTGCTAAAATTTGTAACAGTTTGACTTAAATATACTTTCAAAGACTAATTGAGTGAAAAAAAATGTTTCAGTCAAATTGCCTGTAATAGTCGAGTATTCTACATGACATCCCTAAAATATACATAACTCAAAAAAAAAAAATTTCAATTTATAAAGTCTTCATCAATTAAACAAGTACTATATATTTTTAGGCCCCACTTACAAAAATGAACACAGCCAAGGTAGTCAATCTGGAAATGATAATCTTAAATTGTAGTTAAAAGAACTGTCTTCTTTATGGACTGGGAAGTCAAGAAATCAATAACCTTCAAAAGATTCAAATCAGAGATAACAAAAGAGACCTGTATACAAATGTACACGAATGCCAGATAATACTTGGATCAGAAAAGCCCATTTCAGTCCCTTGCTCTGAAGAGCAAGTATAACCGTTAATTTCCATGACTTTCCTTGAATACCATGGGGACAGTGTGTCCTGAAATATACACAGAACAAAGCGTCTCCTGAAAAGTTCCAATCCAACTTCAGAGGTCTGGTATACCACTTCTTCTGCTCTATTTAAGAGTTTCTTACACTGTTAACTATGATGGTCTATTTCCATTTCTCTGCATAACTTGGAGTTACTTTTTCCAAGTACATTGGCCCGTTCTTAATCCAATGAATGATTTTGTCAAACCAACTTAACTTCCATTTTGTTGGAGATTGTACATAGCTTTAGAGCTCGCAGAACCTAAAACAAGAGGAGGAGACAAAATGTGTGAGTGTGAAACAAGTATATACTGTACATATAATTCTCTCTCATCCATCTCCTATTTACTAGGTTACTTCATTCTGTTTTATGTAAAGTGGTGCCTTGGGGCCCAGAATTGATGTCCTTGTTTCTTGAAAAGCCAATTAAAAGTCTGCGTAGAAGCCATTATACAGATGGGTCTTATACTGTTGGTAAACAAAGAACAGGATGGTGATCATATCTAATATACTTTTTTTTTAAATCTGTGACAGATCTACTAAGCTAACACTGGAAAAACAGTTTTAGTAATTGTCAAGAAAAAACTACCTTGAGTTTTGCTTCTCCTGTAGCACCAGATACCTTTAACCCTATTTTATACATCTCAGAAGGTCCTAAAGGATTGCTGTAAGTAAGGAAACAATAATTACATTTAACCATTCTTCAATAAAAAAAGAGAACTCACTTTGTAATCAGGTATTGAAACTGTTCTTTGAAACATCCCTAACTGAAGGAAATCTGCATTTAAATTAAATAGAATATTGAATTTGTCCTAAGTACCATGTGTCACCCTTAAATCAATTGTTAACCATATATTTCACATTCTGTGTATTCTGTCCTACCTGTTTTCTTCTTCTTTAAAATGTCTCCACAACACCCTGTAGGTCTACAAGTAAAATGATTCACATAAATTATAACAGCACATAAATTGCTCGGTATGTAGCATATTATTAACATTTTTAAGCTTGTGCTTTGTCTCAATGAAACTAGCAACCAGCTAGTTTTTCATACTTAATTTCAGTATGTTTTTAAAAGTGGGGGAGGAAGACAGCCTCCCTTGTGTCTGAATAAGGAAGTCAAGTTCCAGTGAAATAACTTTCACCAACAATTTTTTTGAATTTGGAAGCTCTCAATCTACTTTTTCCTCTCCAATATTTAAAAGAAAAAACCTTATTTTTACCTAAAAGGTCACATGCAGGTAAACATATCATAGTACTTTTTCTACAATGTTGGATTTCAGCCAATCAGTGAGCTCAGAATTTTTTTTACCATGCATTAATATTAAAATAATCAAATATACTGTATGGTAGATTTAGAGACAAAATTCATTACCATATTGACATCTGAGAGCTTGACCCTCCCTTTAACATGTGACGGTACAGATTCAAATTCTTCCTCGGACAATTCTATAAATTCACTGGACTGTGACCGCCTTTCTGCAGGAGACAAGGTTTCCTTTGTCTGACTCTCTGTTTAAAGAAAGAGTCACCGTGTTTACATATATAATCTTAACCATTTCATCAAGATCCTTGTGCAATTAGACTCAAAATCTTTTAGTGTCCTTTTTTTATAATTAATAATGTTTAAGTGAAAATGATGTTTTCTTATAATAAAATGTAGATTGTGAAGTAACTGTGAAGTAATAAAGCTGTGTTCAATCACATGTTTAAGATATTGGTCCCTCTGGCCAAATGACCTTTACAATATATGTTTCCAATAAACATCTAACAAAGGACATTGTCATATGAAAGTGTTCACAGATAAACTTCATTGTTAATTGAGACCTATCAATATATTAAGGACCCTCTCTACACCAGTGCAAAATGTTCACACGCCAAATAGTAACAGTGAATAGAAATCACTGATGTTTAACTTCCATAGAGAAAATTCATGTAAATAACGTTCAATTAATTTATCTTGGCCTTTTCAAATGTTAAGAATACTTGAATTGATTACAAATTGAGAGATATACTACATATTTCTATTTTTTAGAATTTAGATCTAAGGGCAGATCACTTTAAGTTCTAACTGCAAAAAAAACCCCAAAAAACCAAAGAATCAGAACTCTTTAGAATGCAGTGTAAAGAGGGTTCTTAATGGGTTTTTTTTGGTAGCAGATTTACACTGTGTACCTGTTTCCTCTGCACTTTTGGTATTGAGGGTAAAGGTCAGGTTGCTACTGTCTGTCTGTGATTGGTTGACTTCCTGCTGTGAACTGGTTGCTGTTGTGTCAGACTGATAATGAGGCAGGTTGATGCCCAGTAACTCTTCTAATTTCACCAACTCTTCTGGCTTCTCCTCTGACTAAAAAAAAGAACATCGGTCATTAACTATCATCCAATCATATAATAAGTTAATAACATATGTACATGGGTGGATAAAAAAATAACATTATTTGGATTGCCTCAATTTAAGGCCAAAAAAAATAAGTCTTGTTTCCTGCTACCAGCCTAAAAAAAATAGGGTAGGTAGGTAGGAAAATTATTTTATTTTTATTTTTTATTTTATTTTTTCTGACGGCATTTTTTGGATATAAACTGAATACCTGATCAAAATTAAACATATCACAAGTCACTCAATATAATCTTTTACAATTAAATTTCATGTTTTGATGCACAACAACTCAAGTGGTATTTTATAATATACAGTACACTGTGTAGAAAGCTCCTTTAGTTTTCTTAGTATTTTTTTTTTTTTCAGTTATGGAACATGAAGGTATTTGTCAAATAGATAACCAAACAAGCATTCCTTTAAAAACTCAGCCAAGGACCATATGTGTTACAGAAACCATGAACTTTGTCAGATTACACTGTATTTAATTTCTGAGCAGGTTAATTTTATCGCTGTTTACTATTTGTATTATATACGCACTGTCTATAGAGGATTTTCCAACCACGAAACATTCAGTGCATTTATTCTTCGATTCATGATACCTGGCAAAGATATCATTAAAAGTGGTAGTACTCGAAAAAGTTATTACGTTTATTTTTATGTCCTTGTGGCGGCACCGTACCAAAATGAAAGAAAAAGTGAGCTAGCTCACACACCCCACGCTCCCCCATAACTTGACGGTGAAACACATTTAATGAAAGGCACAGTGCACTTTAAATACATAGTATAGATCAAAAAGTGCAATAATTGCAAAAAATCTTCACATCAAAATGTCTTGCATATGAGGACATTTAAATGTGGAATAAAGTTTCTAGATAAATTATGGAATCAAAATTTCTTGACAATATACAAATCCACACAATAATTTGAAGTGGGGGGGTGTTGAGAAATTTTCTTGAATAATAGGTAAAACTCTTTGGGATAAAATAATGGAATATGTCCTAAATATCAGCATAGGTTGACGAAACTATGTACAACAGTTTAAGAGGAGTGGTGCTAACAAACTGTTCATCTCTATATTCAAAATATGGCAAAAAAGTCTAAGTTGAAAAGTGTGGAAATTCCCGGAAAAATAAAGGAATCGGAATTTCCTGGTAATATGCACATCTACACATTGTGTCCTAAATATCTGCAAAGTTTGACGAAATTCTGTGCAGCGGTTTATGAGGAGTTGCGCTGACAAACTGTTCATCTCTATATTCAAGGTATGGCCAAATGCCTAGTTAAAAGTGCGGAAATTCCCGAAAAAATAAAGGAATCGGAATTTCCTGGTAATATGCACATCTACATATTGTGTCCTAAATATCTGCAAAGTTTGACGAAATTCTGCGCAGCGGTTTATGAGGAGTTCAGTGTGCGAAACTAACTTCAAAGTCCTATAGACTTTCGGTCCATAGACATTTCATTTTCTATAGACCGCAGCAACTTCCTATGGACCGAAATTTAGAATACTACATTCAATGCTAAAATATTGAAATTAAAATAAACGTATTTGATGTAAAATGGTGAAATAATTACACTTTCCAGTAGTTTTTGTACTGGATAAAAGATTACAACAAGAATCAAAAAACACGGTAAGACGACTGACTACAACAGCATTGATAAACGACTCAAACATTGAGAATGTCTGTCTGATAGACAAGAGTAATAATAATTCCCGGGCGTGCACCCTCAACATACTTTAAACGGTCGAAGAAGGACATGTTTCTTCTGCACTGTTTTCATGGTTTTGGTGTCCGCGGCCATTAAGTAATCACAACTTAACCTCCCCTCATGTTAAAAATAAAATATTCCGATTCGAATTATTTCTGCATACATCGTGGAACAAACTATTATAACTAAGGGGTGAACGGAATACATCAGTGTAATACAGACGTTTTATTTAAACTGGTCCTCCTTTTTGTGGTTTGTTTATTAGAGACAAGCAGGGAACCAGTTTCTTACTCAGAATTCCTATAGACAAGTCGGTCTATTAATATTTCGATCGGTATAGACCGACTAGATTTTCTATAGACATTGTCTACCGGTCCACCGTTAATTTCGCACACTGGGAGTTGTGCTGACAAACTGTTCATCTCTATATTCAAGGTATGCCCAAATGCCTTAGTTAAAAGTGCGGAAATTCCCGGATAAATAAAGGAATCTGAATTTCCTCGTAATATGCTCCTAAATATCTGCAAGATTTGACGAAATTCTGCGCAGCGGTTTATGAGGAGTTGCGCTGACAAACTGTTCATCTCTATATTCAAGGTATGGCCAAATGCCTAAGTTAAAAGTGCGGAAATTCCGGAAAAAATAAAGGAATCGGAATTTCCTGGTTATATGCACATCTACACATTGTGTCCTAAATATCTGCAAAGTTTGACGAAATTCTGTGCAGCGGTTTATGAGGAGTTGTGCTGACAAACTGTTCATCTCTATATTCAAGGTATGGCCAAATGCCTAGTTAAAAGTGCGGAAATTCCCGAAAAAATAAAGGAATCGGAATTTCCTGGTAATATGCAAATCTACATATTGTGTCCTAAATATCTGCAAAGTTTGACGAAATTCTGCGCAGCGGTTTATGAGAAGTTGTGCTGACAAACTGTTCATCTCTATATTCAAGGTATGCCCAAATGCCTTAGTTAAAAGTGCGGAAATTCCCGGATAAATAAAGGAATCTGAATTTCCTCGTAATATGCTCCTAAATATCTGCAAAGTTTGACGAAATTCTGCGCAGCGGTTTATGAGGAGTTGCGCTGACAAACTGTTCATCTCTATATTCAAGGTATGGCCAAATGCCTAAGTTAAAAGTGCGGAAATTCCCCGAAAAAATAAAGGAATCGGAATTTCCTGGTTATATGCACATCTACACATTGTGTCCTAAATATCTGCAAAGTTTGACGAAATTCTGTGCAGCGGTTTATGAGGAGTTGCGCTGACAAACTGTTCATCTCTATATTCAAGGTATGGCCAAATGCCTAAGTTAAAAGTGCGGAAATTCCCGGAAAAAATAATGGAATCGGAATTTCCTGGTAATATGCACATCTACACATTGTGTTCTAAATACCTGCAAAGTTTGACGAAATTCTGTGCAGCGGTTTATGAGGAGTTGTGCTGACAAACTGTTCATCTCTATATTCAAGTTATGGCCAAATGTCTAAGTTAAAAGTGCGGAAATTCCCGGAAAAAATAATGGAATCGGAATTTCCTGGTAATATGCACATCTACACATTGTGTTCTAAATACCTGCAAAGTTTGACGAAATTCTGTGCAGCGGTTTATGAGGAGTTGTGCTGACAAACTGTTCATCTCTATATTCAAGGTATGGCCAAATGCCTAAGTTAAAAAGTGCGGAAATTCCCGGAAAAAATAATGGAATCGGAATTTCCTGGTAATATGCACATCTACACATTGTGTCCTAAATACCTGCAAAGTTTGACGAAATTCTGTGCAGCGGTTTATGAGGAGTTGCGCTGACAAAAAAAGAGGACTGACTGACGGACTGACTGACTGACTGACGGACCAGTCAAAAACATTATACCTCCCGCAACTAGTTGCGTGGGGTATAATAACAGAGAGCACATGAGACTGGCCTCTTCCAATGGCCGCCACCATTTTGTTTTGTATTTATAACACGGGAACCAAAAACGGTGACAGAACGACAAATTCCGGAAATATTTCGTTTTTTTTCTGAATCGAAAAAAAACCTTTAGGGTCGGCCCCCAAAAATAGGGTCGGTCGGGTAGCAGGAAACAAGATTTTTTTTTTTTTTGGCCTAACAGGTTTGTGAGGGTAATTTCATGCATTCACTCATATCTATAAAATTGAAAGAATTTGTGGATGTTGGGTACCCACTCATTCCACAAATATTAGGCCACCACAAAATCTAATGATTACACAGTAGCATAAACTCATCTTGACTCTCTCATAAATAACATGTACATTTGCCCTGTCAGTATGAACATGTACTTATCAGCAGTATTAATATTTCGAAATGAGGATACATGCATGCTTATTTAATGTACAACACTCATCACTTTTAATGTTATTTTAACATTTACTCAAATCCTGTTAATTGATGCATTTGTTAATGAATTGGAAATTGCAATTGTTATTGTTTTAAAAACACTTCTTCTAAGTACTAACAAATGTTTTGAAAATATTTACCTCTAAACTCCCTTGTTCTTGTACTTTTTGCAAAAGCTGACATGCAGCAAGAAGTTGAGATTGAAACTGGGACACAGCTTCCTAAAAACAGAAAAAAACTTCCAAATGAGGTCATATATTTGCATTAACTTTAACTGCATGTATTTATTAGTTATTATTACATCAAAGTACAGTATGTTTGTATATCTCTGCAAGTTTTAATAATAACTCATTCCTATCTAACAATCAGAATTGTGAGTCCATCTTTATCATTACTTTCTGTGCTTCTTGAATGGCTGCAGCTTCCTGAACAATGGATGAGAATTCCTTCTTTATGTCAGCAATTTTCTGAAGCATTTGAGAAGGATTGGTCTGCAAAAAAAGAAAACATTTTCCATAAAGCTAGTCAAAAATATCAAAAGATATAATAATTTAATTTTATTTTTCTAATATATGCATTGTACTTGTGTATAAAACAGCAGAAATAAATTTCAAATATTTTCCAGCATATTTCTCACACTTCAGAGTTCAGATGCTGTCTAATCTGGCCAATTTTATGAAACTGGTAGTATTTGGTTTAGACAAGTATATACTGACAAAACGTCAGAAATACTCAAGCTGTAGAAAGTCAGTTAGGAAGTGTCATTAATATTGTCATGTTGTAAATTTTGAATTTACCGGGTGGCAGTAAATACAAAATTTACAACATGACAACATCTTCTGTTGAAAAAACTACATGTACATGAAACAAAATTCATATACTGAATTCAATAAGAAGAAATATAATTCATCGTACCATTTTTTAAAGGTGAATTTACTCAACACACTTTCAGGAATATTTTGTAGAGCATATAATAACGTTGCCGTTTCGTAACTGAATGAATTCTTCTTATGTAGACATTTAGTATACTTCAAACTATACGTTTTTTAAAAAAATATTTTTTGCTTAATGACGTACATCATATTCAATATATACAGCAATCTAAATAGCTTGCTACAAGCCTGTAGAAAAGTTTTTTTCAAAGTGGAAAGGGGGAGGGGGGCTTTGGGTTCATCCATCATTGCAAACCACGGCCAAAGATCTACTCCGTGGGCTTTATCTAATAGATCGGCATGTCCAATACATATGTTGCCGTTCAGGGGTTTTCTCCCTTGAGACAACTTGTGGGTCTCCCAATTTTGTATATTGGACAAAAGAACTATGAGTCAGGATTAAAGTGTATAAAAATTTATTATAGCTTGTTGTATTTAATTTGCACAATCTCTTTGAATGATTATCCCTATTTCTTACTCCCGTAGAAATATTGTTTCTCTCCCAGAATGGGAATAAAATATTCTTACATGGGAGAATTCTGTTTGAAGGAATTGTATATATAAATTTACAAAAACATAAAAATATTTATCTTTCCCAAAATATTAGGAGTTCCTTACAATACAATTATATTAGAGTCAGATAAAGTTATGGGAGAGTTATTTTACCTCCCACGAACTTTCTCCCACAGAACAATTCAATATAAGTATTAAAAAGTAATAATAAAATATGATACAAAATTCATCAGCTCCCCAAAATTAATTAATTAATTGTATCACAGTAATTTCCCATCGATATCGCTCCCAGCCATGCTGGCGATGCGATGATCTAACCTACTCTAACCTATTCTAAACCCATTCTGACTGTCGGTCGATTTGCGCTGGCTTATATTGGCATCGGGCTCGATTGTCGTGACGTCACGACAAAGTGAAAATACCCGCCATGCTTGTTAGTTGATATGCTGCCATGCCGATCGAACCGACGAAAGGAAACACGCACCCTAGGGCGCGGATAATTACCGAGGGAAACATTCATTATACTTATCGCTGATGGACTTTGTAAGCATAAACAAAACAATCATGAACATTTTAAGTGTTACTTGGGAGTGCATTATATCGAGGAATTTCGGGCGTCACTAATTACCGACCTCGTCCCAATTGTACACTTGGTAAATATACATGGAATTAAACATACAATAAATTAAACATGAATTTGTCATTTTATGGACCAGTATACTGTATATATTGCAGGGAGTTTTTGTTTAACTTGTACTATGTATTTCCACAGAAAATGTTACTTATACAGTAACGGGAATAATTACGGAACCGTAACACGGCACCCTCCCATGAAGAACATTCGTCCTCGAATGGTTTTATACTTCAGTTAGGGAATATTTAAAGGTAGGTACAAGTTTTCTATTTATCCCTTAGTCAATGGTCACAAAAACGTACATCAAAAGTGCATATTATGATTAACAATAATTGATAAGTATATGTACATCATTCATAACATTCAACAGTTAACAAAGATATGATCAAACAAATAAGTTATCCATGTTTGGAAGCATATAACAACATCACAAAATTATATTTCACAGGTATTATGTCCATATCACTTCCTTCAATTCACAAAGAAACTTCTCGGCATTGTCTATTTCAGAATATTTTCACGATCTATCCACAGGAGGCTCTATCTGTCAGCTTTGGCTTGTCCTTTTTTTATGGTTCCTGGTCCTTGATTCGTCTACGGATGGCTTTATCGGTAAAAAATCTTTAGCATGGGAATTATTTATTTGCATTATACAAATATCCCATAAATTATTTTACAGAGGGACTTTATGCATGAGATTTAAACCACGTGGGCTTATTTGATCCCAGATATGGTTTTAATCTATTGTGGTGGATTATATCCCCCTTATGCTTTGCATGTTTCCCTATTCTGTACAGAACATCATTTATTCTTTGTAGAATAATGTATGGTCCCTTCCATTTAAGGGATAACTTTTTGTGGAGTCCCATATTTTGATTTGGGAAAAAGACCCATACAGCATCTCCTGGGTTATAGAGATTTTGGTGAATTTTTGCATTGTAATCCCGTAACATATTATCATAAGATATGCTTAATTTGTTTCGGGCAAAATCATGTATTTTATTTAGCTTTTCTGATAGATTTTGGGCGTATTCAGAACTTAATTTTGATTCATATTTTTCAGGGTCTACTCTGCCGAGTACTAAATCTACTGGGAGTATGACTGATCGCCCAAATACCATTTCACAAGGGCTTACCCCTGTGGCCTCATGAGAAGATGATCGATATGCCAACATGAGTAAGGGTATCAGGTCATCTCAATCTTTTTGATTTTTACTAACAAATGCTGAAAGCATATTTTCAATTGTTCTATTTGCCCTTTCTATCATCCCATCAGACTGAGGTCTGTAGATAGATAGATAGATAGATAGTGTGGACCCTATCTAAAATTTGTTGTAAGTGATTGGGCATCTGGGTGTCATTCCCAGTATAATGAGCCCTTATGTTTTTCACTACTTCCCCATTCTCAATATCTTCAACCCTTTCTATCGAGGCTACTACACTACCCTTGTGTAACTTTAAACTCTCGTCACCTAAATTCATGTAACGTACTGGGACATTTTCCCCATCTACTTCTACCAAAGTTTTTGAAATCAATAATTCATGTTTTCCCATAAACTTTTCTGAGGGTTCCACTATGGCTGTACCCTGTTGAAAATTGGGACTTTCTATCCTAGCAGGGGCAATAAATTCACAGTTTGGGGGAATCACTAAATCTTCTTGCAAAAGAACTCTACAACAATCAACTACACTATTTTCATCACTAAAACAAGGGATTTCTTCTCCCTGAATAACAAATTTCATTTTCTTCAAACAAATCTCACATGAAAACTTTTTCATAAAATCTACACCCAAAATACATTTGTTCTGAATGTTTGCAACAATAACTGAATGGGAAATTTCAATATTCCTAAGACTAAATTTAAGGAGACTCTCTCCCAAAACTGGGATGTCTTCTCCATTTGCTGATCTTAATTTTACACTACAAGATTTTACACTTGACTTTTCTACCAATTGTATTTGTTCAAATAATTCGGGGTTTATAATAGTCACACTGGATCCGGTATCTACTAATATTGTTGTTTTAACATTTTCTATCTTCCCTGATATAAAAATTCCCTCATCTCTTTGTTTGACATCTCCTACTAAAATACTTTTGGGACTTTGTTCATTTTGAGGTTTACTTTCTAACTCCCTATTTTGATTTTTCATTGACTTATTTGATACCGGATCAACCCCTGTATAATTGTTTAATGGTTTATTCTGGGGCTTGTTCCCAACTCGCGCCGATTTCCGCCCCATGAATTCGACGTTTGATGGTTTCCCTGTCTTTGAAAACCTGAGTCATTTCTATGAGGGGATGGCCTCTGGGAGTATTGATTCCCCTGATTAGATCTATTTCCAAAACCATTTCTTGACCCATATCTGTCATGTTCCCAATTGTTATTAAACTGCCTGGGACTATTGTTTGAAAATCTGTTTTCACGGGATCTCCCATAATTTTGGGACTTTTGACCAGAATTGTTCAAACTTGACAAAGAGTCTTTTATGTCTTTTAACATAGAAACAACTAAATCTTCATTTTTATTGTTGGGATGGTTTTGAGAGTCAGTGTTTGAATTGACAACATGGACTGGCTTTCCCCTTTGGGCATCTGCCATTTTATGTGTCTCTAACCTAATTGCTAAAATTTCAGCTTCCCCAATATCTTTAGGTCTTGCCTCCCGAATTCTTAGGCGCATATCTGGGTCTGGGAGAGCGTCAATGAAATGATCTAGGGCTAAAATGTTTGTAAGGTTAGGATCAGCAGTCGGGTAGGATTGTCTGATTAATTTCTTGATTGACTGTGCCAATTCTGATAGGGACTCTTTTTCTCCCTTTATTCTATTTTTCAATCTTGCCCGATACATCTCTGACCTTTCTACTGATCCAAAACGCATACTGAGAACTTTAACAAGGGAATCAAAATCCCTAATCTGAGCTTCATTGAGTTCCCCTAAAATTGCCCTTGCATTCCCAGTTAAACAACTAGCAAGATACAAAGATTTTGTCCTATAATCTCAACCATGTAATTCTACTAAAACTTGAAATTGAGCTAAGTAATCTTCAAAATCTTCCACCCCATCATATGTTTGTGGCTTTATTGAGACTGTTGGTTTTACTTGATTGGGAGAATCATACATGTTAACTCTACCGATTTAGGCGGGAGTCTACCGCCTTTTCACTCCATCTCCCGCCTACCGATTTAATTCAGAAATCTACCGCTTTTCTACAAAAGTTGCGTCTTAAGTATTTTTGGTTCGCTTGGGTATCCATTTTTGAAGCCACTCTCATAAAATCTCGTTAGATGTCGCGTGATTTGACTCGGAAGCATACAAACGCTTTTTTTAGTACGTATGTGTACATAGATTTCAAGCACGAATTTGACAACGACAACAGCACTCAAGATTACCAGTGATTACATTGGTCACGATAAATTTAGTCAACATCATTGCCATGAAAAAGGAGATACAGCTATTAAAATTAGATGAAACCGTTTGACATTGTCTATAAAAGCACAGGAATTCACAATGTTATCAATAAAGTCAATAGAAATCACTCGATTGACCAAGCCATGTGGCAATCTCTACTTTCTTTTTCGATCATCGCGGGAAGTCTGATTTATATAACGAAAGATAGGAACTTGTTTTAGATCTAGTTTAAACCATGTCATCATTTGTTTTGTTTAAAAACTGAATGAACATTCAGAATTATTGCTTCTATAGGCTATATCAGCAAAGATCACTCTTCAAAAGGCTAAGTTAAACAGCCAATCCAAGCAAAATGATGAGCATGAAAAATATTTGAATTTGTACAATTTATGTCAAACTTAAGGTGTTTCTGTCTTCTTCTTTAAAGTGCAGTTGATATTTAAGATTAATTATTGTAGGTTTCATTTAAGGCTACATTCATGTATATTACATTAAATATATCGATAATCCAAGCGTAAAACAATGCGCGCGCAATGCTACCGCTTTTGAGGTCTGAATCTCCCTATTTTTCATCACAATAGGTTAACATGTATGGGAGAATGTACGCTATTGTCATTTCTGTTCACCCTTGGGGATATAGGGTTCCCGAAAGATTCAAATCTCTCCCCAGCCCCTAGAAATGGTGATTGACTGGGATTTTCAGAACAGTTCCCATATTTATGTGTACCAATAGCTTCCCCATGATTTTCAAGTGATGACAACCTCCCATGTAATTGATGGGACTCATGTCTCATTTGTGATAATTGTTCTTCAAAATTTTGATTCATGCATAGAACATCCCTTTTCAAACCTTCAACTGCTCTTAACAAAAGTTCATTTATCATGTTTATATTTTCAGAACCACTGGGAGCTGATGTTTGACTTGACAAAGATTCACCTTGACAGATTTCCTCATGGGATAAATTTTCTACTTCTACCGGGACTCTTGGATTGAAAACAATCTCTCCCGAATCTTCTAAATGACTATTATCCCTTGACATTTTTGCTTTTGGGAGTACTTATTTATTCTATGATATAAAAAATTTACTTGTTGAATTAATTGTCTTATGTCCAATCAGATAATGGGAATGAAAATTTATGAATCCCACTTCTGACACCAATGTTGCCGTTCAGGGGTTTTCTCCCTTGAGACAACTTGTGGGTCTCCCAATTCTGTATATTGGACAAAAGAACTATGAGTCAGGATTAAAGTGTATAAAAATTTATTATAGCTTGTTGTATTTAATTTGCACAATCTCTTTGAATGATTATCCCTATTTCTTACTCCCGTAGAAATATTGTTTCTCTCCCAGAATGGGAATAAAATATTCTTACATGGGAGAATTCTGTTTGAAGGAATTGTATATATAAATTTACAAAAGCATAAAAGTATTTATCTTTTCCCAAAATATTGGGAGTTCTTTGCTATACAATTATATAACAATCAGATATAGTTATGGGAGAGTTATTTTACCTCCCACTAATTTTCTCCTACAGGCTAATTCAATATAAATAGTAAAAAGTAATAATAAAATATGATACAAAATTCATCAGCTCCCCAAAATTAATTAATTAATTGTATCACAGTAATTTCCCATCGATATCGCTCCCAGCCATGCTGGCGATGCGATGATCTAACCTACTCTAACCTATTCTAAACCCATTCTGACTGTCGGTCGATTTGCGCTGGCTTATATTGGCATCGGGCTTGATTGTCGTGACGTCACGACAAAGTGAAAATACCCGCCATGCTTGTTAGTTGATATGCTGCCATGCCGATCGAACCGACGAAAGGAAACACGCACCCTAGGGCGCGGATAATTACCGAGGGAAACATTCATTATACTTATCGCTGATGGACTTTGTAAGCATAAACAAAACAATCATGAACATTTTAAGTGTTACTTGGGAGTGCATTATATCGAGGAATTTCGGGCGTCACTAATTACCAACCTCGTCCCAATTGTACACTTGGTAAATATACATGGAATTAAACATACAATAAATTAAACATGAATTTGTCATTTTATGGACCAGTATATATTGCAGGGAGTTTTTGTTTAACTTGTACTATGTATTTCCACAGAAAATGTTACTTATACAGTAACGGGAATAATTACGGAACCGTAACACATATTCCGTACGAATCCAAAAGAATTAAGTTATGTAGGTTCCGTTACCAAAGCTTAAAAAATAATATGAGAATTTAACATTGATTTTGTGCTATTACTAGTATTTTACTGTCACTCCAAGTACGCATCATTTGCAGGCCCGTGAAAAGCAATTTCAGTTGGGGGTACAGCCATACATTTTTTGGTCATGCATTGTAGAATTTGTTAACGATGAGGTAACCTGCGTCACCTTTCAGAGTCTGCAGTGGACTCGTCCAAGGATGCTTTGTCGGCGATTGTAAAAAGTTACCTGATATCCCTACGCAAAGGAAAGCGCGAAATCTCTGTATAGAAACTGTTGCGGCTGCGGAGCTTCACTCATTGTTCATACGCCATAGCATAGAATCCGATATTAAACACTTAATATCTTTGAATATACAGACGTTTTCAGAATAAGCTTCATATTTGTTTCTAGAAATATTTTTATCTACAAAAATAATATATTTTTGTGTTTTTAATCTGAGTAAATCGATGACCTAGCATCGTTTTAGATAACTCAAGCCCCTCTAGGGCTTGAGTAAAAAATGTTACTAGGCCAAAAAAAAATATATGTGTGTTTCCAGTAACATGTCCCTCAAAATTAGGGTAGGTAGGTAGGCAAATAATTTTTTTTTTACTTTTACTTTTTATTTTAACTGAACATTATATTTGACTGTTTTTTAGGTAAACTGTATATGATATTAAATATTAACAAGTAGTATTTTGTTTTCTAGAGGTAGATAGCAGAACCAATTGCAAGAAATTGATTTACAGAAAAAGACATTTGAATTTTAATCACAATTTAATAATGAAATTTTGTCAGATTTAACAAAAAAAGTAAAATAAAGAATTCAAGATTGTTTTTCAGGCCTACTTCTACCTCGACCTCATTATCATTACATGTAAAGACATAGTTAATATCCATTTCTTTCACGGCCAATAATGTCAGAGTTAAACCGCCGTTGTTAGCTTCAAAATTATGACTATCTCCAAATAAATTTCCCACAGTCCAGTGCCAAAGAAAGTTATATATTGCAGTAATTTTGTATGAGTGTGGACATTTCTAGAGCTTAAACCCAATGACAACATGTGGTGGACTTGGAGTTGAGTGATGCACATATAAAATAAGTGATGCAATACATCTGGGGCCACAATTTGACACACTAGCCATATCCCTGGAGTACGTGTTTGCCTAGTGGCTGCCCCTTACAGCATTTTAAATGAATTGGAGTGCATTGTAAAACTGAACTAATCATGCTAATAGGGGTCAAAATATTTCTTTTATACTATGTATTATATATCATTGGATTCGTAATAAATTAAATTTTTCTCATCTATTTACAGAATTTTTATTGTAATTTTCTATAAATAAATAATTCAGGTGAAGGCAGGTGTAAATCGCAAAATAGATATTTTAAACAAATATTCCAAAATTGTCTTTAAAAACTATGAAATTTATGTGTGATGTTATAATTAATGATTAAATTATTATTTATTATCCATTTTATAAGTTTGATTCCTCAGAAATCAATAATTGTAGTCATACTACAATGTCAATCTCGCCAACAAATTTTTAAACTTGCGTGATAAAACTTGATTTCTAAACGTTTTTGAATATTTTAATGATCAAATTCTATTAAAATAATTATTTTCTACATCTTTACATTTATAAATATGCGTAAAATGGAAGATATCTTCTGAATTTCTGAGAAACAGGTAACGAAATCGGCACTGCGCGGTCCCGAACTTCACAAAATTTTCGTATCTTATATTGGAGTATATTACACGTATAGATCATTATAATTATCAAACCTTTCAAGGAATATGTAGTTGATAGCTTGAATTTCATTTAATGCTTTACAGGATGAGAAAATATTGCGTATTGACTGAGTTATATGCTCAAAAAACATCGCAAGTAACAGTCCGCCATTTTGAATTTTGGTGGGACTTTCCGAGATTCTTATGTTTTTTTACACAAGTAAATCATGCGATTTCCAACTGTAGTATGTTGCAATCATCTATTGTTATTGTTAACCTGCAGGTGGCCACCTGTGCTCTGATAATTTATAAACAAGCGGTAATTTCAAGTCAAATCAACAATGAAAATATACACACGTGTCAACATGTGGTCAAAAGTCTCATTAAGGGTTGGATGCTAAGTGTCAAAAGTCGTCATTAAAGGATAAAGGAGGGAATGATCTAAGGGGAAAAGAGCTATTATCTACACATGTATAATCTTAAAATGCTTGAAAAGACTTTTTATTTATCTGTTACAAGTGCCTTTTTAACTGCGCGCGTTTTGAAGACTGTAGTTTTAGAACAAATTATGGCACGTTATCCGGATTTGCAATAAAAAGTGCTAGGGTCGGCGCGTAAAATTAGGGTCAGTCGGGTTACCAGAAACACAGGTATTTTTTTTTTGGCCCTATATAAATCAATGAATCTTCCTGTCAGGAGTCAAACTGCAGGTGAGATTGGTCAACATGGAATGCTTTATCCTCCATGGCACCTGCTCCCACCACTGTTTTCAGGCAAGGTCATTAGCTTTTCCAACACATTAATCAAAGCATCGTTGAGATAGCGTCAATTTGGCAGTGTGGTGGTAAAATGTCATAAATGTAAAAAGAGTAAAGGGAAGGCATCTGCTCCACTTGCTTCAGTACATAATCATTACACAGCTGGCATTCGATTATTAACTTTCAAAAAAATTAACTCATTACCTTATTTTCTTCATTGTTCTGGTCAAATTCAAAATCCAACTTTCGCGACAGAAAATTCAAATCAGATTCTGCTTTTTGGAACTGAAAATTCAAATACACAAATATGTAAATAAATAACATTTTAAACTTAAAGTTTTCTGCATTTTCTGTTATGTTCAATATCGAATCCGGTTTTAAAGGTATCATAAATGGATCACTTTTTTACACAGCAAAAGAATATTAAGATTAAAGATGTTTATTGTGGTTAATATACTCTGTTGAAGATCAGAATAATTCTACGTTTATTGCATCTAATGGGCCTAGGGACTGACGGTGTCCACCCTTTCTACCATGATACGTGCATATGAAATATCGCCAAGAAAATAATAATTCCTGAACTCATTCACAGTCAATTGGATATAAATTTTACAGCAAATAAAGGAATAAATAGTTGGATATCCTGAAATAACCAGGATAAAGAAAATTACAAACGAAATAATAAAAAAATCATACCATTGCCTCTAAAACTTCTACTTTGGACTCCATGTTGGATTAGAACTTCCGCTTTTGTAAAAGAGATTTTGATTGGACATAATTTTGAAAAATGACATTTGATTGGTTTCTTGGAAGCGGGAGATACAAATGAGGAAGTTTGCAAGCATATTAAATAATGCATCGATATTATTGTCGATAGTTTGATCACAGATCATAGAATCTTAATTTTAATTTAAACAATATTTCATTCACTGATGTTTACGTGAATAGGATTTCGATTGGGCAACAGACTCAGCCTATTTTAGCTCTCTCCCTTCTGATTTTTTTTATCAATGTTAGCATATAAGCCTAAGTTCATGGTAAAGGGGTCAAAAATCATCGTGCATTTACTTTAGAAAAGTCTTGTCACAGGTAATTAATACACATGTGCAATATGACACCCCTCACTTTTCTCTTTCAAAAGTTTAGGTAAATTCAAAGTAATTAATGTTAATTTTTGAAAAGTAGGTCGAACTTCAAGGTCAAGGTCACAGGGTAAAAAAAATCATAGAATACATATGAAAAGGTCTTATCACAGATAATACACTTGTGAAATATGAAAACAGTGGCGGATTCAGGTAGCTGCAGATCTGTAGCGTTATGGTAGAATACATATGAAAAGGTCTTATCACAGATAATACACTTGTGAAATATGAAAGCAGTGGCGGATTCAGGTAGCTGCAGATCTGTAGCCTTATGGTATTATATAGTAGTATTGTCAAGACTACTATATAAAACCATAGCGCTACAGATCTGCAGCTAGGATTCAGGGGGTCCGGGTTCGGGAAACCCCCTCCCACTCATCGATTTTTTTAACAAGTTTTATCATTTTGTTGCATTGACAAGACTCTAATAAACACGAATCCATTGTTCGGTACCACAATTGCTTGAGGACAGGACCACCCTTCTAATATAACCCCCCTGGCCTTTTAGACTTTTTTTTTCACAAGAATGATATATGGATGACACATTTGTGATATAATCTATCCTATCAATTCAGAAAATTTTCTTAAACTTTATACATTTTATAAAAATTTCTACCCACTCTAGAATGTATGGTAGATTTTATAAAATGTTTGTTTTATGTAATTTTTCGATTTGTTGGTATAGATCTTATCACAAATTTGTCAATGAAAGATATAATTTATGAGAAAAAAAGTCGAAATGGCACAGGGGTCTATATGGAAGGGGGATCAGGGGGGTGTCCTGTCCTCAAGCACCTGTGTTCAGTACAACTGTGAAATATACATCAACTACGTAACAGGAAATCATTTTCTGCTTGAACACACACAGTAATTAACAGAGAGAGAGAGAGAGAGAGAGAGAGATCGAGATCAGGATAGTCCGTGCATCTAGTGAAGTCATCACAAGGTCATATCCATGTACAGTACAATGTAGTCAGGTATCAACAACAGAAAACTGCATAGTTTTGCTGATAAAATGCATGGTTTTTAAAAACTATTCGAATAATCTATTATTCAGTTTTTCTTTTTACTGTTTTACAAATTAAATTAATACAATTTTTTTTTTTTTACAAAATCAGGTACGCTGGCTTAGCAAAACCCTCTAGTTTTGACAGATTCTTTAGTTTAATGTAATTTTTTCTTCAGTTTGAAATATCGCACATGTGTGTTTATATTCCAAATCATTTTGACAGTATACTCAAGTAAATTGAAAAGCACTAGTTAGGGATTCTGAAAATAATTTTTATTTTTTTTTTTTTAAAGTGTTTAAAAATTGCACATCAGTTGTATTTTAGAAGTCAGCTTTAATAATATACGTCTAAATTAATTGAAGGTACATTTTTAAAAAAGTGAAGGCAACTTGAAGTCAACTGCTCGTATCCCTAAAATTGTCAGATTTAACAATTTTTTAAGGTCCAAAGTCCTGTCTGATGGTACGGACAGATGAATTAGATTTAATATCCCCTCACTTTTGCGAAAGCGGGGGACAAAAAAATGACGCTGTCATTTGCTCTCCAATCTATATCGGTGTATTAATTTTGCATTAATAAACGTTGGTAATAATTTAAAAAATAAGGGAAAAAAGTTCAGGAAGAGGGATTAAGAAGAGCTCAGATTAAAGTTGGAATTACTAACTTCAAAGTTGCAAAAGTCAAGATTAAGTAGTCAAGAAAAGTCAAGAAAAGCCAACTTGTCAAAAATCAGATCCTTTGATCCTCTCACACAGATCGCTTGTGTAGTGAACTCGTTTGAGCGGATCAAAGGATCTGATTTTCATCAGATTGTCATTGAATCAAATGCTGACTGACGTTTTTCATACTTATTGTTAGTCCACTATTTCCCAATCATGACATGGAGCACACGGTAGCTGTGACCGGTCTGCAGGGGATGCTCACTCCTCCATGGCACCTGATCCCACTCTGATGTTTTGGAGGTCCGTGTTTGCTCTGCTCTTATTTTGTATTGTTTTAGGGAATTTTGTTCTTATCCAATGCTGGAACTCGGCGAAATACATCCCCATCTTAATGCAGAAAATCTTGCGCCGTAAATCGCCCCTTATACTTGCATAAAGGGATCTGTAACTTTATGGTTAAAGACTAAGTTATAAAATCATATAACGTTACAGTTATGCAGTTAAGGAGAGGGGTCATTTTTCGTTGTTACACCGGGTCCGGAATTTTTACAATTTCTTTATATATTCCAACCCACTGTAATATATTATTATATGATTGAATAATTTCCATCTCTCTGGTTGGCTGAGATCCAACTATGTTAGAAAAATACTACGTTGTATTGACCTGCACGTGACGTTCCAGGTGAATACAAGGATTTTGTCCCTCTACATTGATCTAAAAATAGATATGGAAATTCCAAATTGATACAAATTGTTTTGGGAAGCTTTTTAAAGGACTATGACTTTTTTCATGTGAACAAAACATAAGCGAATATAGTTTTCGGGTGAGGGTGGTAAGAGGGGATGCAGGACCCCCTCCAACACTTTTACTGAACAACAATTTTTACTTTTTGGCAGTCAGTTTTCCCTGATAATACACCTTCCTTTCAAAATCTATCCTATAAAAAAGACTGATATCATATTTTTTTTTTCATGGAAACTAAAATTGATAAAAACATTTCAAATTGACGTGACTAGTAAGGTTTATTTACATGTTAATTCTTTGGCTAGGACTTGACTAATTAAATGCAAACAAGTAATGAGCTGTATCATTTTATCAGTGAATGATATAATAAAGCAATTATTGCTGTTTTTTCGATGATTTACAATGATTTAGCCATCTTCGAAGTACAATACGGGCTCGGTGAATATTGTACTCCTCAGATGGCTAAATCATTGTATTGACCTCAAAAAAAACCCCCAGCAATAATTGTATATTATTTACCAGCCTTTTGCTCATGTAAACAGAATATTTCCATATATAGGCACTCCCCATGTATTCTGTAAATGACGAAAGATAAACTTGTATATTATAGGTCTACCTCTCTATACTATAAGATCAATCTTATAGTATAAAGGGATAGGCCTATATATACTTATCTTTCGTCATAATATTATTCAGAATTACATGGGGAGTGCCTTTGGATATTTCCCGTGTATTACATGGGAAAAAACTCGAGTGGTCATGAAATGTAAAGTCTTAACCCATAGTATAAAATAACACAAGCCTTGTGTTATTATAAATTTCTACTATGAGTTAAAACAATATTTCCGAAACAAGTACCTGTGAGATGGTCACATCGATTTTTTTTTTAAATTGTGACGTTTCCGCGGGAAAACTAGGGAACTCTTCAAATAAAGAAGGTATGAAACTGGTTTGTTTAGTTATGCAAAATGACAGACGTATTTATTTTATTACTTCAACTAGGTTTTTTGCGAATACTCTTCTGTCGCAAAAGAAATATCACCTCAGTTTGGTATTTACTCCTGCCCTTACTTGTTCCAACTCTTGCAGCACCAGGAAAAACAGCAGTTATCGATGTCTTTAGAACGGAAAAGTTAAACAGTCGTCCGCAGTTGTCTGCCAGATTCAAGACGATTGAGTCAGCAACAGCAACAGATTCGAAAAGTGACAATATTGTTGCAAAAAATATTCGAGGAAAATTTGCTGATGTAGGAAATATTAAAGGAGCAGAAGGAAGGCTGCATATGGTAATTCATTACTGTAGTAAAATTATACCATTTTACTATGAATAAATGTCGCCTACCTTACCATAAAAGGTGACGACAAACACCCAGGTTTACATGGTAGGTAAACACAGGTACATGCAACAATATAACAGGTAACACAGGTGAAGGGTTTGACTGGTAATTCTCGACTGAGGTAGGAATCGTGCCGGCACGGGTGGATGGCTATGAGGTCAGGGTGAAAGGTCATAGTGGACTTATTTACATATGCAATTTCACCACATTCCTCCCCGTTTTATTTGATAAAGCTAAGGGCAATTACTGTAATTTATTCAGAGGAATGTAAACCAGAAATGTATAATTATTATTTAATACAACATGGAAAACGTATGAACTAATTCATGTATCCCCATGAACTTGGCCGGAATTACTTCTAGCGCCTTAGTTCCGCAGGATAAACATGTAAATTATAATGTGGCAAGACTGAATATGGTTCAATGATTTGCGAATTAAATCCGCATGCATCTTCCACACTGGATCAAATGATCATATTAATTTAGCCATACATATTCCATGTTATCTGTTATGCATTTCATATATTTTAACACTTAATTCATAGTCAAAAGGAATCTACCTATGACCTAACACTGACCTACTTCCATGAAAGTCCTGAAACTGAATAGTGTCATGGCATACTTTGTTTTAGTCGAGTGAGAATCATTTGTACCAGTATATAAACTTAATCGTGCATACAACTGATTTGCCAAATTAAACCGTGCAGAGTGCAGTATATGTTAGAACTTTACAACGAAACTAGATAAATTAACTAAACTGTTGTGATGTATGCTAATAACTCACTTAATATATCAGTATTATGTCAATATGATACTATAAAATGTAATGTCGTCACCTTAAATGTGTTGATGCCTCTATCACTATCCTAAATTAAGCCTAACCTAAACTAATAAGTGTATTTTCTTATTCCCTATATATCCTATGAAGTAAACTAACTGAAGACTGTTTGCTGACTATTGATAGAAAATCCTATGAAATATTTCTACTGAAAACATATTTACAAAACATATTCCGCATCAGTACCGTCACTGTCTAAAATATTAGTAAGCCAGGCATGATACGGAAAATGTTTAACATATAACTATATACAAAGCAATCCAGCCCAATACCGTCACTGAGAATGGTCAGACGGGTATCTAACGGAAAGCATAAGGTTATTTACATGGAGCAATCCAGCCCAATACCGTCACTGAGAATGGTCAGCCGGGTATATAACGGAAAGCATTGCCTATATACATGAGATGATCCAACATGATATACCGTCAATGATATCAGCCAGGTATATCCAATGGAAAGTATAGGTTGCATGATTACACCAGTCCTTGTTGAAGTATTTCTGGATATCCTTAGGAACTGGGTTAAAGACATGCACCAGAATAGATCATTGCCTATTTATGACTAATATACTGCCTGAATATGCTTTATCCAGATTTGACCTGAAGTAACTAACTAAAGTTTATAAGTATTCCTTAATAAAGAGTTTGATTATGTGACTGCAATATGTACTTGTAATTAACATTTGCTTGAGCAATAATAATACCAAGATATTCACTATGCTCACTTAATTACTTTCCAAAATAGTAATGACTATTCTTAAACTGCTTTATTCATATAATTTCTTACTAAAATCTCAAATGCTACAGATATAATAAAGGTACTCTAAATGCTTTCTAATGTAAGTGAGCTTTAAGTACTATAACCATGATGATACTGTGCCTTAGTCTACACCACAAGCACATTGAGCATTGCTATGTAGTTTACATTGATACAGATTAACAATGGCTTCGACCAAAATATATAGGTCTTTAGCTATAACTAATAATATATTTACTGTATTAACATTGACATGTTAAACTATACAGACTTTGAGTTGCAATAGACATTATGTACTTATAATTGTGAACAACAGTCAAGCAATACTCAAATACATTGACTTGGGTGCAAATAAGTTACTTTAAAGCTAATACTTTAATGTTATGCATTTGAGTTAATGTTATATAAAACAACTACACTGCTATTTAAATTTACAAACTACAATCTACACTATTTCCCCTCCCTTTTATTTTTAAATGAAGGAACAGTAGTATTATAACCAGCTGCTTTTAATTACAAATAGTAATACTATAACTTATCAGATGTAGTTTGTGCATAGCGAGTTGCCTATTGTAAACAAATCACCATTTTGAAAGTACTAGGTGTATCACCATTTTGAAAGTACTAGGTGTATTGTACGCAAGTCTATTAGTAATTCCACTAAGTAAGTAAGTTACTAAATATCTAAACTGATTATTACATAACAACTATTAATACTGTAATTGAGTTAGTCAACGACCAACTATGACCAGTTGAGAGTTAACTACCAGTTCTAGATAGTGTAAATGTTAGTTACTTAAATTATAAATAAATTATATCCAAATAAGGTCAGACTGCAGTAAAAGCTAATATTATTAAAACTGCGATCTACTAACTATTAGGTACTAAATACTAAGTACTAGAACTATAAAGTGTTATTATAAGTCAGTAAGTAAACACTGAGTAAAGCATTTCAGGTTTATTTAGCAAATGATCTACATAATCATGATGGGCCATGGCACAACCCAACATTTATTCTCTAGTGGCAGCCCAGATGGAATGCCCAGCCCATGGTCCACATATTGAAGTACACAAACAAGGCATTCTCCATATGTAGAAGGAAAGTCCTTGTCGGCAGCACTCCAAGTAAACCTGGTTGAGCCACCTGTGCTGTCACTTTCAGTGTTGTCTTGGTACACAGCTGTTTCTGGTACAGACAGTGCGGGATAAGCATTCAGCGCTTCACTAATCTTCTCATTATGAATTGGCAGCTCGATTAGTGAAGAGGTTGCTGTTCCGTTTTCGTCTGTTACCAGCTCTTGGTAGGAGGACTCCTGTAAATTGCTGGATGCCTGAGCATTTACAACTGATTTGTTGCTATGCTCAGGCAAAGCATCACTCCTAGACGGCTGTGTGTTGATAGTCAAGTCCGGTATTTGTTGGCTGTCATATGTTTTATCAGTATCCAGAGTTGTTTGGCAACTAGCAGTTGAATGCTCACTACTCGGTTGCCATAACTCAACAGATCTGTCTTCTGTTTCATTCCTGTCCTGTATGTCTTCTGACTTTGAAATTCCAGGAACACGGAGACCATCCTGTGACACCATGGTATTCCACTGCATACCAGCAGGTGATATATCACCACTCGGTATTTGTGGAAACCCTGGTGGACTCTTGCAGGTAACTGTGGGCATCTGCTGCTGGTTTACTGCTGCAGTAAGTGTTGGCATTTGCTGCTGGTTTACTGCTACAGTAAGTGTTGGCATTTGCTGCTGGTTTACTGCTACAGTAAGTGTTGGCATTTGCTGCTGGTTTACTGCTACAGTAAGTGTTGGCATTTGCTGCTGGTTTACTGCTACAGGAAGTGTTGGCATTTGCTGCTGGTTTACTGCTGCAGACATGACAGATTCACAGCTGCTGTTGTCTCCATGTTTCAATGGTGAGGAACCATTTGACAGTTCCTGGTCCTTGGTGTCGTGAATTTCAGTGATGAACATACCAGGACTTTCTACAGCTCCTCCATTCTGTAATTGGATCAATGGTGTTGGCATTGGTGGCCCTCCATACATGCATGGTTGGGGGTATGCCTGTTGTGGTACCATGTATCCAGGTTGGAACATTCCAGGATATGGGCCATATGCATATGGTATGCTAGGGCATGGCTGTGGTGGTCCAAGGAATGGTTGTATGTATGGTCCACCATATCCAGGAAATGGCACAGGGTAGTTCCCAGGGACTGGTACACAAGGATAAGGATACCCTTGGTTGAATGATGGCAGGTATGGTCCACCATAGTATCCAGGAGGTGCTGTACTAGGTGTCATAGCTGGATTCATCTTGTTGCTTAATTTTCAGTAGTTCAAAGTTACGGAAATAAATCACGCCGTTTGACACTACTGAAATATTCAGTCAGTGAAAGTGTGTATAGTTATTGACGTAACGTATTTTCCACGTTTACGGTAAACAAACCGCCCGTGAAAATATAACACTCTAAACGTGACTGATATGCAACAAGTTCCATGTAGTTACCGTGATCTGAATTAAACGTAACTTTTAAAGCCGGTTTAATTCATTGGTTTAGTCCAGATAATTTTAGTTTATGACGTCTATCTTTTCTTTCTATCTTCTTATCTTTGTTTTACGGTGTTTCTATCTTTATTTCTTGTTGATTGATGAATTAAACGTTACTTTAACACAATAAATAATTGTATCATAAGCCGGTTAATTTAATTCAACAAAGTTTTGGCGATTTAGTTTAACGTTTCTCTTCTTTCTATCCTTTTCTTTCTATCAAGTCTATATCTTTGATAATTGGTTTACGATGTTTTCTTTACTTCTCGTTGATTGAATCTTCGATTGATAAAATATTGGTCCACTACAAACTACTCAAACTTTTATTTATCTTAACTAAACTTAATTAATCTGTAACTTAACTACACCTTGCTTTAATTACCGACAGACTCTTACAACGTTAGTGTACAAACGCCCGATGACAGACGACGGTAGAAACAAGCATAGATGTTACAAGACTTTGTAGATAAGCTAAATAATTAATTGTATAATCAATTGATGATGGTATATAAATTGATTATACTTTTGCAATTAGATTAACTGTTATTTCACAGAGCGAAGATGTAAAGCCGTTACACTACAAAATCAGTCTACTGTTAAAGCGAGAAGCACGTGCGCCTCGATCTATATATAGCTACAACAGGTAAACTGGTGAACTAGCTCTGTGAAACTACTCAACAAAAATATACGATATGAAAAACACAATATCTCTAGATCTCTACTTTCCCCCAAAATATTTTAGGGAACCTTAGAGAGATTGAAAAAAAATAATCTGACGAGACGAGTCGAGAAGAAAACGCTTCTCGGAATTGCCAACACGATTGACAATATTTAAATACAAAAAACTATTTATGAAATATATAACAATTTAGAATAAAGTTCAATCGTTGCGGCACGAGTGAGCAAAACTAAATGAGTCGAGAGAAGAAAAAAAATGTATTTTGCACAAGACAATGTAAATGTTCAAAATTTTCGTACTGACGTTTACAAAAACGCCCTTACGATTATTGCACACTAAATAGTAATGAAAATATTCAAAATGTTCGCACTAACGTTTACAAAAACGCTGTACGATAAATATAATGCTAAATACTAATGAAAAACGAAAATTCAAAAATAATTGGACCGTGATATCACCACGTGGTCAAATGCGACTCACGAGTGAAAAAATAACATGGCAAATTAGTCAAATTGTTTGAACTTTGCAAATAACGTTAATTATAACGCCTGTAAGCAACAGTTTCCTAAAATTCCAAAATGACTAAATGCAAAATATTTCACCTGTGTATTTATTCACGGGTGGAAACTCACACGTGAATTTTTGCATATAAAAACATGGTAATTCAAAATGCCCCGTTCCGAATTACCGGCGACGCCAATGTAGTAAAATTATACCATTTTACTATGAATAAATGTCGCCTACCTTACCATAAAAGGTGACGACAAACACCCAGGTTTACATGGTAGGTAAACACAGGTACATGCAACAATATAACAGGTAACACAGGTGAAGGGTTTGACTGGTAATTCTCGACTGAGGTAGGAATCGTGCCGGCACGGGTGGATGGCTATGAGGTCAGGGTGAAAGGTCATAGTGGACTTATTTACATATGCAATTTCACCACATTACCCACTGATGATCTTATCGAGGGTTTCAGACTTGCTCCTAATCATGCTAATAGTGCAATGATCAAACAGTTTGAAGTGGTAAATTTTTGTTCGTTTGAATGGAAAATATTGGTCTTTATTGCTAGATACATTTCTTTAGAAACAAGAAAACAGTGTATATGTAGTTGCAATGTTTAAAGACACAGTTATTCTCTGTGCTAACTTTACATGTATGATATGACAGCATTCCCAGTAAAGTGAAAAATCGAAAATTCCCATTATCATCCATGTCTCCCTTGCAGCCTTGATTCTGTATTGCATGTCACTCTTCAGACAAGGCAGCTTTTGGTTGATTGAGACCAGATTGGGCATTTCAAACTCTGTCATCCACTTTATCCAAAAGATGTTCAATGAGAAAAAGGTGGGAGTTTACAGAGAATGGTCAAGTGGATAAATGTAATTGTTTGCTAAAAGTCTTGACAACCCCAGCCTAGCTACATTGGTGCGGGAGAAAATATGATGAAAAATAAGAAAATGATGCATGCATGTAAGAGTTAAAAAACAGCAACATAAAGTTGACAAGCTCACCAGTTTTGCCCACTCACTGGCACTTACCCGGTACAATTTGTCATCTTTGGTATTTTTTATACATGTAGATTTATTTGTTTTTACAGCTATATATACACTGTAAGTTCCATAAAAGAAGATGCACTTGCAAGACCCCTTCTTTATTTATTGACAAAATTCTTAATATTCTTTTGAATTGAAACTCTGATACATAAAAATTAATATTCAAATGAAATTTCAAAAATATATCCATTCAGACACAAAATTTTACCATGTGCATCATTGTATCTTCAGGACACATGACTTTTATCATGAACAAATTCCTCAACATTATACATGTACAGCCTAACATTTAAATAGATTTCAGAAGTGATTGATGCGCACACCAATAATTATAAACGTAAACTTGAAATTATTGCTTGCAAGCACTCAATTATAAAATCTACAGAATTAAAAAATTAATGTTATTTTTAGACATAATTTCTTTTAATATACAATAAAACTCGTTTAGTACAAATTAACACAGATATTGCGAAATTTACGGAATCAGATATTGCAAAGTTATCTTGGATCCCCAGCTATATGAATTTAATGAATTCCTTATACGGATATAACGAATTACAGATATAGCAAAGAAATTTTACAGGTCCCAGTGACTTCGTTATAACCGAGTTTTACTGTAATTTGTTTTAGATATCTTCTGACTGCAATAGCAATGATGAGAACAGCTTTGCCAGGCTACCACAGAACTGGCTTGCAGTTTTCCATTTGGGAGAACGTGGTGGAAGCTCATCAAACAATTGTCATACAGAATCCTTATCCATGATGGACAGGGTAAGGGTATCTGAGATATTTATGTTAATTACCCAATAATGTTTATCCCTGCTTGAGAAATCTACAGATGAATAATTTCAAAATATTTATGTCCTGAAATCGTATGAATTATCCCATTTATGCAACATCTCATGCAGTTTTTCCTTCATTTTAGTGAAACAATTTAATATGCATGTTTCCTTCCTTTATACACATGTTACATCTTCGCTACTGAGAGCTTTTCAAAATGTACATGTACTTAAATTTCACTGACAATTCAAAATTCAGAAGAGAAAATTCATAAATTATTTTCATCATCGATCTACGTCAGGTATAGAACAATAGAGTTGAGGTCTCCTTAGATACTTCTGTTTGTTTTTTATGTGAGTTTACTTTTGCAACTTTTTTGCAGATGCAGAAAGCTTTAGTGTTTGGAGCTTCAGCCATTATCATTCTGACATTGAACCCAAAGATTTTAAGGGAGGTAAATAAACTTCGGCTTATTGTTCTATATTTGTGTAAGCTTTACTTCCAAATATGTGTGAATTTGAAAAAAAGGATATTATTTTTAATTTACAAAATTTATATTGATACTGCAGAACCTTTTTAACTTGATGGGGTCAATTTTACTGACAAGCAAAAATTGAATTGTTCATTGGGAAGTTATTTCATGGATTTTCTCATTTTTAGCTCTACTGCATGGTCAGAGACCAGAAGAGCTTATGCGATAGTATTGTGTCTGGCGGCCTTCCATCTGTCTGTATAAACAGTTCTACAAAATGCTACTCCTCCTACAGTTTTGGTCTGATTTCAATATAACTTGGCACACAAGTAGACTACACTAAGATTCATACTTCTGTATATGGGTTTCTGATTTAGATGAACGGTGTTGCCGTGGGTACTAAAAATAGAAATTTCTGTAAAATTCTTTCAAAATGCTACTCCTCCTACAGTTTTAATCTGAGTTAAATATATAACTTGGCACACAAGTAGACTACACTAAGATACATAATTCTGTGTATCGGTTTATGATTTAAATGAACAGTGTTGCCGTGGTAACTAAAATAGAAATTTCTGTGGAATTCTATCAAAATGCTACTTTTCCTACAGTTTTGGTCTGATTTCAATATAACTTGGCACACAAGTAGACTACACTAAGGTACATAATTTTATTTATCAATTTTTGATTTCAATGAATAGTGTTGCAGTTGTTACTGAAAATAGAAATTTCTGTGAAATTCTTTCAAAATGCTACTTCTCCTACAGTTTTGGTCTAATTTCAATATAACTTGGCAAACAAGTAGACTACACTAAGATACATATTTCTGTATACTGTAGATCACTAAATTTTCGCTACTCCTTATTTTTGCGAGTTAGTCATCGGCTCTTTGTAAGCGAGGCATAATTTTCACGAATTGTTGTTTTTCCTATATATAATCATATGGAATACTGTAGAAGTACTTTTTTCAGCGTGTTATTAATTTACGCTATGAATGCGGTCACAAATTTTCAGCGGAAATTTGTCCAAGCGTTCTTAATAAACATGTAAGGCATATAGTGACATTCTAGGAAATTCGCGTAATTTTCTACACGCAGATTAAACAGAAATTGAGATTCCGCGGAATTATGGCGCCGTGGAAAAAAGTACGTCTACAGTACTTTTAAAAGCAAGAATGAAATTTTCGCGAGCTCATTGTCTCGCGTAATTACGCGAAAATAAAGTTCTCGCGAATAAAACGTGATATACAGTATCGGTTTTCGATTTCGATAAACGATGTAGGCATTGTTACTAAAAATAGAAATTTGTGAAATTCTTTCAAAATGCTACTCCTCCTACGGTTTTGTTCTGAATTCAATAAAACTTGGCACACAAGTCGACTACACTAAGATACATAATTCTGTGTATAACTATAGGTTTTTGATTTTGATGAACAGTGTTGCTGTGAAATTCTTTCAAAATGCTAATCCTCCTACAGTTTTGGTCTGATTTCAGTATAACTTGGCACACACGTAGACTACTCTAAGATACACAATTCTGTGTATCAGTTTTTGAGTTCGATGAACATTATTGCCTTGGTTACTAGAAATAGAAATTTCTGTTAAATACTCTCAAAATGCTACTCCAAATACAGTTTTAGTCTGATAATAAAAAAAAATTATGTGGCATGCAATTAGACTACACTAAGAACATAAAGAGACTTAATCAAGGATCATTATTCTATTTATTGCTGTTGTAAAGTTTCAATTCCCAACTGCTTAAGTACTTTTCTCTTCCTTTGCTATAAGTACAAACCAGTAGAGCTTCAGTCTCGACAGAGACTTTTGTTACATTAGAATTAATTTATCAATGTGTTTACAATTAAACTTTTGTGGTATGCTTAATTTATGGGCAGGAGTGACCCATGGAATCCATGAACATTGGTTCCCCACAAACAGTGATAATCCCTGGCCTATAATTAGGAATCTACTGTACTCAGTTTTAGTTATCCCTAATGGTTATTTTCTGCATCTGCAGACCTCATTAAAAAATTTCAGCAGGTTTTTTCATAGTAGACAGGTTTAAGTTTTCAAAGAAGACTATGTATCTGCAAATTGTGAAACCCTTAATGGACTAAACTTGTTTTAAGAACATACCGTATAAGTGGAAATTTTAGCGAGATGCAAATTTAGCAATTTGTCCTTAAAAATAGGTATTTTATTTTTAGCGAGATGTAATTTTAGCTATTTTAAAAAGCTCACTAAAGAAACGATTACAAATAAAGCGCAATTAATTTTTTAGCGATATTCAATTTTAGCAATCTTAGCACCCTCGCTAATAATGCCAGAATTAAATCCTCGCTAAAAAAATTCTGCTTATAGGGTATCACTTTTATACATGTACTATTGATTGATGCTGCACCTGAAATACCTTTTCCATATGAGTGCATTTAGCCATATTTAAGTTTTTAGGGCATGTCATTTCACTCTAAGCCCATCTCTATAAACTTACCTTGTTGAAGTTTATAAAGGTTTAAATTAATTACTTCCTTAATTAATACATGTATTCTTTAATCTGAAGCAAGTTCACTTGTCATTGATTGTTTTTAACTTTTTTTAGCTCACCTCAATGAATGTAATACCCTCGGTGTCGTTGTTGGCGTCCCGGGTTAAGGTTAAGTTTTTTGGAGCAGTTTTCTTTTTAAAGTACTTCTATGTCCTATATTGATTAGACTTGCATGGAAGATGCATTGTTTCTAGTGTGTTGCATTGTACCAGTCAAGGTTTCAGATGCTGCAATTTCAGCAAAGGAATGACCAGGTTAATGTTTTTGGAGCAGGTTAAGATTTTTGGTGCAGTTTTTGGTGTAGGTCTCATTTCCGAGTAACCATAAGACCTATGTTGACCAAACTTGCATGGATGGTACATCTTAGGATGCACACTACCAGGCTTGCTTCAGATGCTGAATCTGACCTACATTTTCTGCATGAGTGAACAGGTTAATTTTTTCGGTGCATGTCTCATTTCCAAGAAACTATGAGCACTATAGTGACCAAACTTGCATGGATGATACATCTTAGGATGCATACTACCAGACTTGCTTCGGATGCTGAATCTGACCTACATTTTCTGGATTAGTGAAAAGGTTAGTTTTTTATACAGGTTTTATTTCCAAGTAACTCTGAGCTCTATGTTGAGCAAACTTGCATGGATGATACATCTTAGTATGCATACTAATAGACTTGCTTCAGAAGCTGAATTTGACATACATTTTCCATGCAGATAATGGACCTGGTAAAAGTTATAGGTGCAGGTCTATTACCAAGAAACTATAAGGCTTATATAAACCAAACTTGCACAAATGATGCATCAAGGGATGAAAACACTCAAACTTGCTTCAGATGCTGGATTTTAATTACGTTTTCAGGATGAATCAAGAACTAGTTTGAAGTTTTTATATAGGTCTATTCCAAAGTATCAAATCAAAATTACATAAATTTTGCATTTTTGGATGTACACTTTTTGTTGGTTAATTGTGTGACTTTGCCTTACTTAAAGACAGCATTCGTTGAGGTGAGCTCTGTAATCTCTGATTACCTATGTTTCAAGTGAGGTATCTACCTGTATATGCAATACAGCATACTTTTTAGCTCACCTGAGCCAAAGGCTCAAGTGAGCTTTTCTGATCAAAATTTGTCCGTTGTCTGTCGTTATTGTTGTCATTGGCGTCGTCGTCGTTGTTGTCGTTAACTTTTCACATTTTCATCTTCTTCTCAAGAACCACTTGGCTAATTTCAACAAAACTTGCCACAAAGTATCCTTAGGTATAGGGGATTCAAGTTTTTTCAAATGAAGGGCCACGCCCTTTTCCAAGGGGAGATAATTATGAATTAGAGAAAAATTAATGGCATTTTTAAAAAATCTTCTTCTCAAGAACCACAGGGGCAGGAAAGATGAAACTCGTGTGGAATCATCCTCAGGTAGTGTAGATTTAAGTTTGTACAAATCATGACCCCTGGGGGTAGGGTGGGGCCAAAATGGCCGATCAAAGTTTTACATAGGAATATGTAAGAAAAATCTTTAAAAATCTTCTTCTCAAGAACCACTAGGCCAGGAAAGATGAAACTTATGTGGAATCATCCTCAGGTAGTGTAGATTCAAGTTTGTTCAAATCATGACCCCCGGGGGTAGGGTGGGGCCAAAATGGCCGATTAAAGATTTACATAGGAGTATATAGGAAAAATCTTTAAAAATCTTCTTTTAAACCACTGGGCCAGGAAAGATGAAACTCATGTGGAATTATCCTCAGGTAGTGTAGATTCAAGTTTGTTCAAATCATGACCCCCTGGGGTAGGGTGGGGCCAAAATGGCCGATCAAAGTTTTACATAGGAATATATAGGAAAAATCTTTAGAAATCTTCTTCTCAAGAACCATTGAGACAAGAAAGATGAAACTCATGTGGAATTATCCTCAGGTAGTGTAGATTCAAGTTTGTTCAAATCATGACCCCTGGGGGTAGGGTGGGGCCAAAATGGCCGACCAAAGTTTCTCATAGGAATATATAGGGAAACCTTTTAAAATCTTCTTTTCAAGTACTTCAAAGCCATGATTAGTAATATTTTTAGCTCACCTGAGCCGAAGGCTCAATTGAGCTTTTCTGATCACATTTTGTCCGGCGTCCGTCTGTCTGTCTGTCTGTCTGTCTGTCAGTCTGTCTGTCTGTCTGTAAACTTTTCACATTTTCGACTTCTTCTCAAGAACTGCTGGGCCAATTTCAACCAAACTTGCCACAAAGCATCTTTGGGTGAAGGGGATAGAATTTTAAATGAAGGGCCACGCCCTCATTCAAGGGGAGATAATTGGGAATTAATGAAAATTTGGTGGTATGTTTTAAAAATCTTCTTCTCAAGAACCAAGGTACCAGGAAAGATGAAACTTATGGGGAAACATCCTCAGGTAGTGTAGATTGAAGTTTGTTTAAATCATGACCCCCGGGGGTAGGGCAAGGCCACAATGGCCGACCAAAGTTTTACATAGAAATATATAGGAAAATTCTTTAAAAATCTTCTTCTCAAGAATAGCAAAGCCAGAATTGATCATATTTATATGGAAGCATCCTAAGGTAGTGCAGATTCAAGTTTGTTCAAATCATGACCCCTGGGGGTAGGGCGCGGCCACAATGGCCAACCAAAGTTTTACATAGAAATATATAGGAAAATTCTTTAAAAATCATCTTTTCAAGAATAGCAAAGCCATGATTGGTCATGGGACTACTTTTGGATTTAAACTTTTCAATAATACACCAATTTCTACTTTTTCCTAGCCATAGTGCTCAGGTGAGTGCTGTGGCCCATGGGCCTCTTGTTTACTTTGGATGCAAAAAGATGACTCTTGTCTATCAGTGGATCTAACCAATGGGCCAAACATGTATACTTTTTAAAGAAATCACTGAAATGATATTAAAAAGTGATACTAACCAATGCATCTTATTGATCGATCATGAAGCATTTCCCCTCCATTTAAAGATAATACTGATTATTGGCTGTTAATATATTCAGTTTATTAGGTCACCTGAGTAAACTCAGGTGACCTATTGCTATCTGTTTTCGTCCGTCGTCGTGCGTTAACATTTAAACATTTTCAGCTTCTTCTCTGAAACCGCTGAACCAATTTCAACCAAATTTGGTATATAGCATCTGTGGGTGAAGGGGAACAAAAATTATGAATTTCATGGTCCCTGCCCCCCTGGGGCCTGGGGGGTGGGGCAAAAACCACTAAAATTAGTGCAATCTTTAAAAATCTTCTTCTTTACTCCTGGACATCAAGCAGTCAAACTGCTGGTATGATTGTAATCAGCATTGAGTCCTCTACCATAATTGTGAAATTCATGGCCCCAGAGTCAGGGGTTCTGGTGTTAGGGCGGGGCTCTATTGATTATATAGTGAAAATGCATTAATTCTTTGAAAATCTTCTTCTCTGCTCCTGGGTATGCTTCTCTGCTCCTGGGTATTAAATAAAATAATTAAGTTCATAGTAATGATCAGCAAGAGTGCCTCTACCAAAATTGTGAAATTCATGGCCCCAGGGTCAGGGGTTCTGATGTTAAGGCGGGGCTCTATTGAATATATTATGAAAATGCATTATTTCTTTGAAAATCTTCTTCTCTGTTCCTGAGTATTAAATAAACTAATTAAGTACATAGTTATGATAAGCGAGAGTGTCTCTACAAAAATTGTAAATTTTATGGCCCCTGGGTCAGGAATTCTGGTGTTAGGGTGGGGCTCTATTGATTATATAGTGAAAATGCATTAAATCTTTGAAAATCTTCTTCTCTGCTTTTAGGTATTAAATAAACTAACTAAGTACATAGTTATGACGAGCAAGAGTGCCTCTTCCAAAATTCTGAATTCTATGGCCCCAGGATCAGGGGTTCTGGTGTTAAGGCGGGGCTCTATCGATTATATAGTGAAAATGCATTTATTCTTTGAAAAGCTTCTTCTCTGCTTCTGGGTATTAAATAAACTAATTAAGGACATAGTTATGATGAGCAAGAATGCTTCTACCAAAATTGTGAATTTTATGACCCCAGGGTCAGGGGTTATGGTGTTAGGGTGTGGCTCTATAATGATTATACAGTGAAAATACATTACATCTATAAAATCTTTTTCTCTACTCCTGGGTAATAAGCAGATGAACTATTTATATGGTTATGATGTGCAAGGGCTTTTCTTCCTGAATTGTGAATTTCAAGGCCCCTGGGTCAGGGATACCAAAGAGGGGGGGGGGGGTCTCTACTTATATACTAAAAATGAATTGTTTGAAATCTGCTCCTTGGTATTAATCAAACATTTTTGATAAGCAAGTGTGCATTTCAAAAATTGTGCAATGTGTAGACCTAGGGTCAGGGGTTCATTTGTGGTAGGGGCACTCACGATTATTGCTGAATATTACTGATTAGTTGACATGCATTTTTGTTCCCTTACCCTGCTTATGGGTATTAAGTAAACAAACTAAACATTTGCTAAGTGTATAGTTATGATTAGCAATGGTGCCTCTTTCAAAATTGTGAATGTCATAGCATCTAGCTAAAAACATGAACCAAATTCAATCATTTGAAAGTTGTTGCATGATGCTCAGGTGACCTATAAGGCCCATGGGCCTCTTGTTTTATTATTGGCCTTTTATATCCTATTCTATTGTTATAGTTTGAGGGTAAACAGATGTTTTCCTGTCCTGTGATCATTGTGGAAGCTCTAGAGAATGTTACTAACTTTGTTAGTGTTCTAAAAAGGTTTGTTAAAAACTTTGAATTTACTTGCATATTACAGTATTGACAAATATTTTTTCAACATTCTATTTTTTTCTTTTTTCATCCATTTGTATTTCAAAAGAATCAAATGAAAATGATACTTGTTGTTTTACAAAATTGTCTTTTAATTTCAATTATATACTGTACTTACAATAAACTTTTATGTTTTTTAGTAAAATGAAAATAAAGGCCAAAGTGTACCAAGCCCCAAAATCATCTGTAAGTTTTCTTAAATAATTACAATTGTATAATGCTTTCTAAGAGTTTGTTCACTAAATCTGTATTATTATAATTTTAGAAAGGTTTCTGAAATAGTTTTTGTCAGACTTGATTTTTTTTTTTTTTAAAAATCTCATTCAAGCAAATCTAGGGTTCCATTGAATTTCTCTTATAGTTGTATATCAGTCTACTTTTAACTTCCAGAACCATCTGACCAATTTCAATCAAACCTAGCACAAGGCTATCATGAGCGAAGGGGATGCAAATTTCAAGGCTTTTATTATTCCTTTTAAAATTCAAATAATCCAATGCTGAAAAGATTTTAAAACATGAGAGGGGCAATACTGTAAATTCCTTATTTTATGCGAGTACAAAATTAATATTGCCAAATGGCTTTTAGACGGCAAACCGGGAGAATAATAATTCATGAGTGGGCGTTTATATAGGAAATTTTACATGTATTTTAGCACCATAAAAATAAAAGTGAGCAATCTTAGTGGTGCTTCTCGTGAAATTACGCGATAATTGATTCCTGGCATATATTTAGGAATCTACAGTAGTGCTTGGAAGAATGAATTTTTGCAAGAATAACAAGACTTGAGGCTGCAAATGTGACTCCAAGCCTCCAAATACATCATGTATTTTTGTTGCGAAAGACTTACCAGTAGTTGAAGGCTTATGTATTTATTTACTAATCAGGTGAGCATTGTGGCTTATGGATCACTTGCTTATAAGTGTATACTTACCACTTCTTCCAGGTCTTTATTACTACTAGAATTACTAGAATTACAGTGTCATCTGACATTTTATTTTTTTTAAAGTTTCCAACACTCACTTTGTGGGCCTCTTGTGGTAGACCAACCAATGGCCACAGTTACCATGAGTGGGATGGAGTCATTTGTATGGGAACTGAAGAGGAGATCAGTGGAAAGGTTAGTTTTTTTGTATCAGTATCAGTATTTAATTTCATGTTGAATTGTTGATTTTCATATATGACACCTTCTACATGTATATATTGCTACTTAAAAAGGTTTTAACTAAAGTATAAATTGGTTTTTCCTCAGAATTTTTATGATTTGGGCTACCCTTTAGATAATGACCTAGGTATCTCATTTGATAGTGCATCTGACTAATGATGCATGGGCCTAGGTTTGAATCCCAGTCCAACTGTGAATTATCTCCTACTAAATTTTTTGCTGTCACTACCTGTGGATCTACAGATAAATGTGATTGTCCTTTCAGGGGCTAAAAGTATCTGGGATGTGAATCTTGGAGGGCTAAGACAAATTAATGAGGGTGGGATGTTGTTCTGTGGGTTATATGGACTGGATATATACCTGGGTAGCTCAGTAGTTAGAGCTCCTGTCTAATGATGTAGGGGTCTCAATTTTGATTCCCACTGCAGTTATAATTTTTCTCTCATTACAGATCTGCAAATGAAATAAACTGCATTTTGTAGTGTCAATGCTCCAAATACATGTACTTATCATTCTTCATGATAATTTCAGGCAGAACCTATAAGTTTTTGGAATTTTTTCTACTCTGGAACATTTCTGATACTGATGTTACTGGCTATCAAGTCTAGAAGAAGACTGCAAGATGAATGGGGAGAAGATAATGAGATTGAGGTAGGTACCTTAATGAATAATGTAATGATTATGACCAGTAATCAATTTCATAACTCCTAAAAACAATGCAAATTGCAAAGAGAAAAAGACATAAATTCTTGACAAAAGTGGGGCCATATAAGGGATCAAAATATAAAGAAAAAACAAACTTGTAAACAAAAGCAAGACCATGCTTTAAGCCTAGTCATATAAATATAAATTATCTTTTTAGGTATAGTTTGTTTATCCCTCCCCCACAGGGAAGAGTGGGACTCAAATAAGGGATCAAAGTTTAGGATGATATTATGGGGAAAAATCTATAAATATCATCTCAAGTCAAGAACAAAAGGCCCATGATTAGTGATATTTATATGCAAACCTTTTGAGATCATGAATATCTATTTTTTTTAAAAAAAATCATGACCCCTATATGCTGAGATGCTGACTTTTAACGAGGTTGTTGAAATCCTTGTAACTTCGATATATCTGTCCGTAGCCTGCCACAATACAAAATATGAACATACTTGGAACATGCTCTTTGAGTATCAAATTAGTTTGGAGATAATATAAACATTATATGCATTTTCATATCAAAGCGAGAGAGGCAGGGTGGGACCAATGTTCTGAAAAAAAAAGCAGTGCTGAGGTGACTCAAAACGGTTTTTTTTAACCCAGTTTCTAAACAATACTCATCTTTGATTTTGCTCCTTAAATGGTTCTTTATCCAGTCTTTAAACAAAGTTCAGCTTTAGATTCCCTTTGTGTTAAATCACAATGACCTCAATTCTTTTGTAATCTAATACATATGCATGTTTTCCTTTCAGTCAGCATTAAGGGATCTGACTTTCCAGGCTCTTTCTTCCATGAAGACAAAAAAAGTCAAGAAAAATCAAGTCAGTCCTAATGATTTGTGTGCTATATGTTTGGAGTTGTTCAACAGGAAACAGGTGTGCTCATTGCAATATATACTCTATAGACGTTAACATAAAATCTTCTTGTGTGAAATGTCAACTCAAACTTTTTGCTTTAAACTGGATATTTATTTTTAACTTTTCAGAAACTGAGAGTGCTTCCATGCTCCCATGAGTTTCACACAAAATGTGTAGATCCATGGCTAGTAAAAAATAGAACCTGTCCACTCTGTAAATTCAACATAGTTAGTAAGTTAAGTTCCTTTTCTCTCAGTAATTTTTATTCACAGTCTTTCAAAAGTGTATTGTAGATGCACCCATTTTAGAAGTTATCACATTTACAGCACCTTTTACACTGCTTAATTGTTTTACATGTGTATACAGTTGTATTTTTTATGGCCAAATTTTGTTGTTTTCAAACTTCCAATGTTTTACTTTATGTTAGTGCTGAACAGGTCAATTTTAAGTGTTAGTGGGCTAATTTATACATGTCTACAGTACATGTATATATACCGATACACTGACAGCAAGTGCTTATTTCATTGCTTAAAAACAATACACAAGTTCTATAAATAGCATTTACTGAATAAAGTTTTGTTCCTTGTTTGTGAAGTCACAATGTGAAAATGACGTCACTATGTAAGTCACTTGTGACGAAAAATGGTTGTCGCAGTCGTACTCGTTCAAGAAACAACTGTACAATTTATTGAATATCTTTGAAATCCCCTTGCAGTAGCATATAATAATTTGTACACAGTTTATTAAGACAGATGACTTCCTATAAATTCAATCAATGATTTGATTGATCTTTTTAAGTGAATGAAGGCAGAGGGTTAAACATGATACTTGTTGTGTTGCCCAGTGAAAGCAAGTTTAAAAAGAGATGTGTTTTTAATTAAGCAATTTGCTATCAAAGATTTCCAATTTACACTTTGAAAAATAGCTGAATATTTGAACAATAATATAATTATTTAAATACCTAAGATATAATTTACTTTAGATTTTAAACATATTAGATATGATAAAAAGGAGGCAAACATTCTCTATCCACCTTAAATAAACGTCTCTCCTGAGACAGAAGATTTTTGTTTTAATGGTTGCCATGCTTATTTTTGGAAAGGATATGCTTATTCACCCATTCTGTTGCCGAGATTTGATCATTTCTGACAAATGAACTGTTCTTGTTATAAAAATTAACGTACAGGAAAAGAAATATAAAGGTCAGAGAAATGTTTCAGCTTTTGTGACAGAACGCTACGGAGGGGGTCACGTGACCGCCTATATCACGTGATTCGCGCATGAGCAGAACGTTGGTTGATGTGCATTAAAATTGGAGAGGACTGATTTAGAATATAAACAACACTGAAACCAAATATTGTTTCCTTTATGGAAGTTATTCAATTAGTTCGCAAACTTTTTGATCACCCCTTGTATTTTGAAAACATAAAATACAAATTTTGTGAATGTGAGAGTAACCAGCACAATTTTATTTCGCTGCAATTTTTAAGAGTTTACAACAATAACTACAATTGATGAACATTGATAAACAAGATGTGTTTGTGAAACACTGATGCCCACTATGGCAACATAGCGAAGATTAAACTTCTCTTAAATGCAAATTTTATGAAATATGAATGTATGCCAATGTTAAAGGTTTTTCATAAGTATGGAGATCTACAAGTTCAGGGTCAAAAGGTCAAGGTAATTGGTATCTAATGAAGGGTCTTGTCAAAAAGATTACATATGTGAAGTGTGGAAGCACTAGCCCTTAGCGTTCAAAAGTTATGGCTAAGGTTAAGATTTTTTTCTTAAGTACAAAAATTTCCAAGGTCAAGGTCAAAAGATCAAACAATTGGTATCCAACGAAAGGTCTTGCCACAAAGAATACATATTTGAAGTATGGAAGCCATAGCTCTAACTCTTCAAAAGTTATGGCCAAGGTTAAAAAATTTCAAGAAGTTGGTCAAACTCCAAGGTCAAAGTGTCAAAGTACTTGATATCAAATGAAAGTTCTTGCCACAAGGATTAAATATGTAAAGTACAAAAGCACTAGCCCTAACCCTTTAACAGTTATGGTCAAGGTTTGCTTTTTAAAGTACATCAAACTCCAAGGTCAAGATCAAAAGGTCAAAGTTCTTGGTATCTAATAAAGGGTCTTCTCACAAGGATTACATATGTGAAGTATGAAAGCACTAACCCTTAGCATTCAAAAATTATGGCCAAGGTTAAACTTTTTTCATAAGTACAGAAATCTCCAAGGTCAAAATTGTTGGTATCAAATGAAAGATCTTTCCACAAAAATTTTATATATGAAGTATAAAACTCCTGGTATCTACTGTTCAAAAGATATGGCCAAAGTAAAAGTTTGAAGTTTTGTGTAAAAGTAGGTCAAACTCCAAGGTCAAGGTCAAAAGGTCAAATTTGGGGGTACTCAAAGAAAGCTCTTGTCACAAGGAATACACATGTGAAATATGAAAGTCATAGCTACACTAAATCAAAAGTTATGGGCAAGGTTAAAGTTTTTGCCTACAAACAGACAAACAGACAGACAGACAGATGGATACGAAAAAAACTATATACTGTGAAATCAATAATTTTTGTGGGGGTTTTTATTTTGTGGTTTTCAAGGTATGAAAAGACCCACAAATTTTATGCCCACCATGAAATGCAATTTTTCACATTTACTGTATGTGTACTTTAAAAAAAGCAGGCTTTATGTTTTAGCGGCTTTGGTGCAGACAACGTACAATGTGCTAATTCGTGAATACTGCTAAAAAATCATTTACATATACAATACACTGAACGGACATGTAGAGCGCTAATTTATGATTGCACCAACAACTCCATACCCAGTGATTACGCTAATTTAAATTTTGATTACGCTAAATTATGTACACATACAGTATTACTACTGAACAGTTCTTCAACCACGAAATCAAATCCCCATAAACCAACATACAGTTGTGTGCCAAAAGTGAAGATAATTTTATTTTTTCTTTATATATTTCATTGAAAACAATATTTTGTAAAATCGCTGGTATGATAACATTTCTTGACAGATTTTATCAAAAATTTCTTGATAATCCAAAAAATTGTTGTCGTTAAAAAAAACCCAATAGTTTTTATCTGATAAGCATTGATCATTTAAGGAACTCCAACCCTCAGCCAGGAAGGATAACTCTTTAATTTATAATTTAATTCAAAAAATCTTTAAATGAAGCTTGAAAATTAAATATTTTCCTGCAACAATTTTCATTATATGCCTCTCAATGTGCTTCAAGGTTCTTTGCAAAGTTCCATAAATCACTTCTAATTTCATATCATTTTAATAAACATTGGTATCTAAAAATGCTTTTACAGGATAAAAATTTCTACTTTTAATTAGACCTTTCTGAGAAGTTCAAAGAACCTTGAAGCACATTGAGAGGCATATAATGAAAATTGTTGCATGAAAAGATTTAATGTTCGAGCTTCATTTAAAAATTTTTTGAATTAAATTATAAATTAAAGAGTTGTCCTTCCTGGCTGAAAGTCGGAGTCCCTTAAAAATATTGTAATTTAAGTGTGACATGAATTTTTCAGTCATATACTCACAATGAATTATATAGTCAACATTGATCTTGAATTTTAGAACTGATGTTTAGTAATGAACTATATTTTACTACATATTAAACGTGTAATGATCTTTTAAAGAAAGATACCTACACATTTTCTGGTTTAAGTACTGAAATAAATAATTAAATCGGACAAAAATTGACCATTTACCTATGATTTTACAAAATGTTGTTTTCAATGAAATACAGTATATAGAGAAAAAATAAAATTATCTTCACTTTTGGCACGCCACTGTATTTTCCTCAAACCACGAAAATTTGACTCCTCAAATATATATGATTTTACAGTACTCCCAAAACTTCATTTACGGGGGCATAAAAATACAAATGTTTTTCTCTTCTTAAGATTTTTTTCCCTAAAATTTTGCTTAATTTAAACGTAAGTTAGAAAGACAATTTGAAATACGTAGAATGTAAATTCTGCTAAAAAATCTAGTTTTTACAGATACATGTATTTAAGCTCATATATACTGTAAACCAACTCTTATTCACGTGCGAGAAATTTTCGCGAGGTTCGAGAGCCTCGTTATTGCGAATATTTCTCACTGTGAACTGGTCCTTAAAGTCTCTTTGTCTATTAACAACAGGTTTAAAAAGGCTTGATCGCAAAAATTAATCGTCGCGAACTACATAACCCCTGGCAAATCGCGAAATAATATCATCGCGAATAAAAGTTGGTTAACAGTATACCCGGTACATGTATTTCTTAATGACTGGCATCTTATAGAACTTTTTATTGTGTGTTTTGTTTATTTCGATATGCACATTTTTGACAATTTTATACCATTTTCCTTTCAGATGAAATGACCAAAGAAAACAGTATATGAAGAAGATATTTTAAAACAGATATTTCACCGTGTCAAACCGTTACTTTGAGGGAGTCGCGAAAAAGAACGAGGGAGTCGCTTTTTACGCCAGAGGGAGTCGCTTTTTATGCCAGAGGGAGTCAATTTTCTTCGCTTGAAAAACTGCCGAAAGGTAGGTCAGGGTGTTTTGTTGTATTTAAGTTTTTGCACAAATACACATCGTACAATACGATAACTAAGGTACATGTACATCAAAATTTTACTTAATTACTGGCATTCACAAACTTATATTTATGCAGTATAACCAGGTTGTAGGTGATCTAAATGTGTTATGATTTGATAATCTTTATTGTTTGACAATTTGAATTCGGAAAATGGTCGTTTAAGGAATGAACGGAGACGATTTCTAATTTCAGTGCAAAGGTAACGGAGGGGGGAGTCGATTTCTGTTCATGATTAAGAAAGGGGGAGTCGCATATTACTTAAAAACATATGTAATGTACAATTGACATTAACCTGCTTATTTGATATAAATATGTTTGATGAAACATTTAAATTCATTCTTGCATTTTTTTTAATAACAGAGATGGAGGAGCCAGTTACGATTACTGAGGTGTTGGAAATGAAACCACAACAGGGTTTTGAATGTGCAATTTGTGAAAAGACTTATAAACTTAAAGGCAGTCTGCGGAGGCATCTACAGTGTCATTTCGATGGTAAACAATTCCAATGTCTTTGTGGAAAATCATTTTCACATAACTATTTGCTGAAAAGACACCAAAAAACCCATGATGATGAAGCAAACAAAAAGAAACTTATTTGTGAAGTTTGTGGAGCTTCATATACAAGTTCGGGGGCCTTGAGTGACCACAAGAAATTCAAGCATAAAAATGAGGGATACTTGTGCACCCAATGTTTCTTGTTTTTCGTCGTCGGTCAAACTTCCTGGAAATGACATCTTATTTGTGAGACCATTTTTGATCTCATTTACATTTTGAATTTCATCGGTAAATGTTTTATTTCTTTGGAAAAAAGAATACCCATCTTCATGACCGAACATGTTGACATCTCCTCCAATCTGATCTACACCTGCTGTTACTTTCTTTGCATCTGCACAAAGCATGAATTCGCTTTCCTCTTGTACTTGTAAAGCATCTAATACTGGGTGCAATATTCCTGGTTGAAGTGTTTCATTGAGATCGACATTACTTACATTAAACTGAGAAAGAACCCCCGCGCTAGGAACAACAAAATTTATTTGTGAAGATTCGGTTGACATTTTTCCTCTTGTAGCGACCCCATCTTTAATCTGACAAGCATTTTTTGGACCACCCATGAAGTAAAGAAACTTTGAATGAAACAATTTGTATCCGATTTTCCAAAATCGCTTGGTTTCGGGCCTATAACACATTTTGCTGGAAATGTCACAGTTACAAAACCGTACTGTATCCAAAAATAGCAAGAAGGCTATGTTATCTTTTGGATATTTTTCTTCTGCAACAAGGCGCAAAAATGTTAAAACTTCATTTGCAATGCCTTTATCGTATTTGAAGAGTTTCTCAAAAGCTTTTGAAAAAAGGTCTTCAGATATTGTTTTTGAATTTTCATCATGTGTTTGAGTACCTTTGTCAGCTGTACATATCTTATGATACTCGATTTCGCTGAATTGTTGTTTCTCAGAAAATTTGTCAACCCGTTGTCTTTTGGGAGTTATTTTCAATGGGGAAGGTGGCCCTCTTGTCTGGTTGCATTGAAAAACTCTATGAACTTTCAGCTTTTTTGGTGTTGGGGATTTTGAATAACAACGAGTTTTTGAGGGGGTAAGTAATAAATCAGCTGTCCATTTCCATTTGTTCGGACTACTGGTATTTTGTAATTTCCTTTTTTTAGGTTGATGAAGCCATAAGGATGATTTCTTTTTTGTCATTTCTAAAAATTCAGAATTATGTTCAAAGATTGATATTGACAATAAAATATGAAATTTTCAACATACTATATGCTCATTTCGAAAACATTGATTGCAAAAATTCATTATTTGGATTACTTTGCGACTCCCCCTTTCATAATCATGAACAGAAATCGACTCCCCCCTCCGTTACCTTTGCACTGAAATTAGAAATCGTCTCCGTACATTCTTTAAACGATCATTTTCCAAATTCAAATTGTCAGACAATAAAGATTATCAAATAATAATACATTTAGATCACCTACAACCCGGTTATACTGCATAAATATTCATTAATGCATATTTTTTGTCATCGTCAATGTAAAGTTTGTGAACACCGAAAAAAGTTCCGAAGTGTTTGAGCATACTAGATGGTTAAGACTGGTAAAATTTTGATGTACATGTACCTTAGTTATCGTATTGTTCCGTGCGATGTAGTATTTGTGCAAAAACTGTTTCTAAATGCAACAAAAAACCGTGACCTACCTTTCGGCTGTTTTTCAAGCGGAAAAAATCGACTCCCCTTGGCGTAAAAAGCGACTCCCTCGTTCTTTTTCGCGACTCCCTCAAAGTAACGGTTTGACACGGTGTACTTTTCTTATGGTTTTTAACTGAAATGGGTGCTACCATTATTTTGATTTGCAGTTACACGATGCATGCTGATTATTGTTAATGTACCTTTTTCCATGAAGGCATGTGTTTAGAGAATCACAATTTCTGATCAATCTGCAGGTAGAAAATTACCTGGATTCTGTAATTATAAGTCCCTTATGCATTTTAGACTGTGAACAGTTTCTGTGGGAAATGTCCATAGCTTAATTTACAGAAGAGATATGCATACAGTATTAGAACCATTTCCAGGTTAGTTTGAACTTTCAGTAAGGCGTGGCATTCTCGGCACTACGTAATTAGCGTCTGTCAAATGACGAATAGATTCTCATTGGTTAAGAAATTAATAACATCAGGAACTTTAAATTGTTGTTGACAACAATGAGACAACTTAAGCTCCACCTCTTTGCTGGAGGAGACAACATTATTGGTTATTTGATACACTAATTGGCATTTGCCCGAATTTCTATCCCATGTATATTTCAACGGTGAAGGAAAGCTATGTAAATTTCAGAAGCTAATTATTTAACGTCAAGAATATTACGTCTTACTGAAAGTCCAAACTAACCTGGAAATGGTTCTATTTAAAATTTTTTGTTAATTTGTTATCAAAGCTTCATCTTTAAAATGAGCTGGTGTAAATGTTTACTCATTAAGGATCTTTGTTTTTTATTAATGCAGTGATTTACCACACTATATTCTGTGCCTACTTTACTACGTGTATATGTCAATAAATATAAATCAGATCTCTACACATTCAGTATTTTGTACTATAAAATCAAGTGATGAGATAAAACATTATGATAATTCATTTCCAGGTACAATGAAGCGCATGGAAGTGGTAATTTTTTTTTGTTTGAAAGGAAAGTTTGGGTGGTTTTTTTTTTTTTATAGAGCATCAATTGTTACATAATGATGCCCATTTCTTTAGAAACAAGGTAGAACTATTCGTTGGGATACCTCACTCATTGCCACTAGCAACATTAGATACACTGAAGTGAAGACTTTGCAAAGTTATGTAGGATTAGTGAAGTCTTCTGTTGTGCCAAATAGTACAATTCTCTGTAATCCTTGGACTTTCAGTTAGGCATGGTATTTTTGATGCTACATAATTAACATCTCTCAAATGGCGAATGGATTCTCATTGGTTAAATTAAGGAAGCTCTAAACATTGCACACAAAAGAGTTCTAATTTTAGGGTAGTTTTTTGCTGTTAGAGTGATCTGCCCTTTGAAGTGAGATAGAATGAATGGATATACCTATTACAGTTTTAAAATAACACAATTTTTAATAGACTAAAATATGCATAGCATTATATTAGACCCATCTTCCCTAGTCAAGGGTTTCTTATCCACATAAACCCTTGACCGAATAGACTAAGTTTGACGGGGTTTACAATCATGCCATCTTGTGAGACTGCACATATTGAACTCTACTGACCTCTACTGTTGGTCAATCAGAGTAAACGAATTCAACAGAGAATTTGAGATAATTTTGGAAGTAGGCAATAATTTCAATATAACTGAACTAAAAAGTTGAGACAAACCCTTAACTGGGCTATTTAATGATAAAGACGTTATCCTGAGGACTATAACTAATATGTTTTTAGCTCACCTGAGCCAAAGGCTCAAGTGAGCTTTTCTGATCAAAATTTGTCTGTTGTCTGTCGTTGTAGTCGTCGTCATTAACTTTTCACATTTTCATCTTCTTCGCAATCTGAACCACTGGGCCAAATTTAACCAAACTTGCCACAAAGTATCCTTGGGTAAAGGGCATTCAAGTTTATTCAAGTGAAGGGCTAACCCCTCTTCCAAGGGGAGATAATTATGAATTAGTGAAAAATTGAAGGCATCTTTTAAAAATCTTCTTCTCCAGAATCACTGGGTCGGGAAAGATGAAACTCATATGGAATCATCCTCAGGTAGTAAAGATGCAAGTTTGTTCAAATCATGACCCCTTGGGGTAGGGTGGGGCTACAATGGGGTATCAAAGTTCAACATAGGAAAAATCTTTAAAAATCTTTCACTCCAGAACCACTTGGCCATGAAAGATGAAACTCATGTGGAATCATCCTCAGGTAGCGAAGATTCAATTTTCTTCAAATCATGACCCCCTGGGGTAGGATGGGGCCACAATGGGGTATCAAAGTTTAACATAGGAAAAATCTTTAAAAATTTTCTGCAGAACCACTTGGCCAAGAAAGATGAAACTCATGTGGAATCATCCTCAGGTAGCAAAGATTCAAGTTTGTTCAAATCATGACCCCCGGGGGTAGGATGGGGCCACAATGGGGTATCAAAGTTTAACATAAGAATACACAGGAAAAATATTGAAGAAGAAACTCGTGCAGAATCATGTTCTGAAAGGGAAAATTTAATTTTGTTCAAATCATGACCCCCTTGGGGAAGGGTGTGGCCACAATGGGGTGATCAAGGTTTTACATAAGAATGCATGGTAAAAATCGTTAAAATTCTTCACAAAGCCGTCATGATGATTGATCATCAAATTAAAGGCATAAAAAGGGTAATGTGTATTAGAAATTCAGGAGAATAGAGGAGCCATAAAGTGGACAAGTGAATACAAAGGCTGTATCAATAAAATTTTTCATCTTATAAACAACAAAACCATAATGTGTCACAAAAGCATTCTTAGGAAGTGTAGTTTTAAGTTTGTTTAAATACCCCCCTCCCCAGAACTCGCACATCATTCGATGTCATTGAACATTTTTCCTGCAGAATTAAGCCAGGTACCCTTTGTTGAAAATGAATTAAATAATCTCAATATGCACATCTTTATATGATATATTTTTCTCCAAGCCCAAAAAGCACTTTTTGTTAGAGTTTAGAGCTTCCTTAAATGACTGTAGCACAACCTCTTTGCCGTACGAAACGCTGTCATGGGGTCATTGTTACACTTGTTGATATTCGCCCGCATTTATGTATATTTCAACAGTAAGTGAAAGGCTGTGCAAATGTATAACGTCGAGAATACCAAGCCTTACTGAAAGTCCAAGGATAATTGAGAATTGTACTAATATTGAAATCAAAACAAAACTGTAGGAGGAATTCTTCGCATTTTGAAAGTTTGTTTACAGACAGAGAGCTAGTCGGGCGGACGATGGACACCTTACTAATCGCATATTAATGATATTATACATTTATAGCATGATCGCGAGGGAAATATGAAGATTGTTTCAGCCAAGAAAAAATATGTTCCCCAAGGGGTTCATCTGAGGGGAATATATTACTGCGCTAAATTAATCTTCATGTTCCTAGAACACTCACGCAATCTTTTTTTAACCAAAACAAGCAAAACCTTTAGAAATAAACATTAACTTTCAAATTCACTTCCAATTTAAATGTTAAGTTACTGAAACCCTTGGACACATACAATCTGCAAATTTTGTGCTGTGAACCAAGCTACTACTCTCAGGAGTTTTTGTTTTTGTTCAACGAACGATAAATACCGGGGTATTGCGGGAAAACGTAGTAGGTATCCGAAGAGGTTGAAAAATTATGAAGAAAACTAAAGCATGCCTACGACAGGGAAATTCGATGTTTTATGGCCTTCTTACTTGATAATCTAGAACCAATCAATTAACGCATTGTATAATAGAATAATTGTAATGAGGTATAATAAATTGTATTTGTTTTCATGTTATTAAAACTTTCAAAAGATAAATGTAAAATATTTATTTTATAAAAATATTTATTTCATGTAAAACATACGATGGAATTCAAGCGCGGATCTAGAAATTTTTCAAAAGGGGGGGGGGGGGTGAAGGATTTTTCAAGGGGGTGGGATTGAAGGGGAAAAGAGTTACATGTATATAACGTATGTTTTACACATACTAGTACATGTATATGTAGTTAAATAACGCAAAAGGATACCGGGTGGAGTATGGTTTTTAAAATTGGAGGTTGATCAACCTGGGAGAAAGTACTTGTATGAATTACTTGAAAGTTTTTGAAAAAGAAAATATATATCCGAACCAGAAAATCCTATTTTGTGAAGGGAATGGGCTTTCATTTTGTATTCACAACCGAATTTCTTAATATATTACAACATTAGCCTTTCACTGAACATTTTCTATAGTAAAAACACAACAAAAATTTGGGACTATACTCTCTCTCTCTCTCTTTTTTTTTTGCAAATCCAGAGGGGGGGGGTTGCAACCCCCGTAACCCCCCTCTGGATCCGCCACTGGAATTTAGGCCTTCTAATAGGATAATATGAAGTCTCTGTTATCAGCTAGTCCATGCAAACTAGGTTTCGACCAATCTGTAGGCATTCTAGGTCATTCTACATATAAAATTTTGCTTCGAGAAAAAGATCGATTAATTCAATTATGAGGCTTGTTGCATGTTTGAACTATTTCTATCTTCTGATAATAACAGAAAACATTTGTTAGTATCAGATTGTATTACAAGTCAAAAAAAACAACTACACATTTCGTACACAACGCCTGCAGGCAATGTTTTCAACCCAGCTAAGATTCCACCCGGCAAAAACTGCGTAATTCATGACAGCAGAAGATTGATCCTCAACCGGAAGTGAATTTGGTACCTTGTCATTAATGAACGATTTCATCCATTTTAATCTAACAGGCAGTAAAATAGATTTTCCAATAATCACATCATAAGATGTTCTGAATACGTATTATTTTTTTATCTTTTTTAGTTAGGAGCGACGCATTTCTGAAAAATTAAACTGTCAAGGGTATTGGTCCTTTATGACAGAACAAGATTGTTACGCCAATACTGATAACTGAAACAATATCAATACTGAAACCTTATTATTGAAATTATAAGTTGTCCAGAAAATTCTCATAACGCCATCGATTTAATTTGTAATACGGGCAGTTTTTAGAATATTTAATTTGTTTGTGTAAGTATATGCATTTATTTTTGAAAATAGTATAATATCAATATTCAGTGTTTCGGTGTCATTTACAAGTAGCAAGTTTATACATGTAAGTCGCATATGTCTGAGCAGGGACGAAAATAGTTAATAATGTATAAACATATTTCTGGTTTGAGAAACCTATATAACTTAAGACATTAAACATGTTAGAAGAACTTGTATTGTGGAAGCTGCGGACCGCATACAGGTTTTGGTAATCTAGATAGATAAAGGAGCTCTATATATGAACTGAAGCAAAATGTTTTAGGACTTTGACACAATATACAATGTATATTTTATTTTCAGTATATGGTACCTGGCATCTACCTCCAAGAAAATATTCAAAGACAGCAAAGTATTAATTATAGAAATCACTGTAATATAGCCAAGTAGGAAAGATACATGCAAATGAAGTGTTAGTTAATTAATGCTTTGCAATGTAGATGGCAATAAAGCTAGCTTGAAAAGACAACAGATTAAACAATAAATTAGATTTCAATTCCTTTTATTTTAGAACTGAAGGACAGAGTTCTCTTATCGCATATATATGAATATTAAAGAGAATGATTCTCAACTTTGTTCCGCTTTACGAAGCAAGAGGGGATCCCATGCATGTAATTGTCGTTTTTAAGGTCATACGCAACGTGCCTGACATATACTGATAATTTTTCAAAAAATTCTTAATTTAAGATTATAGTGTCATCAAATGTTCATAAACAAAAAATCAGCAAGCATTACCAGGAGTATTTGCAAGATATCAATTGATGATTCTTGGATAAATCCGGGAAATGTATTTAAAAATTACTTAATATATATTCCTGAAGTTTCTTGTATCAAAACCTGTTATAGAAGAA